ATTCCGAAAAACTCTATACCACATTGATTTTCTGCACGGACTTCATCAGAAACGACTTCTAGAATTCGATCATCAAATATCTTCGAACGTGCTAATAAATTTTCTAATGAGGGTGTCTGATGCTGCAAGGATTCTGCACTTGCCGCTTGATTTGTTGATGCTACTGATGTCCGTTTTTCTGTTTCAGTCCCCTGAAATATTTACCGCTGACAAAATGGGAAATACAACCGTAAGCAATTTCGAGCAAAGCTTTTTAAAACTTTCATAAACACTTAATGGTCAATCTTTTTTAGTTGCCGATAGGGAGATAACAGAAAGCTTTGAATCATTACAATAAAGTAGTGATAAATTTTATCATCTCAAAACTAGATGCAAGTGAAAACAAGTAATGATTTAAAAAAAATGACCATAAATGCAAAATAGAGAACTACAACAATCAAAAAGGATCAAGATTCATAAAGTCAAGCAAAAAGGATCTTTTCCTGCTGAAATAATAGGCAACTATTATGATACTAAAAATGTGAAAAATATCGATTAAATTCAGATGATTTTCGACTTTAAGTGAAAAAATACATCTCAAAAATGCCTACAATTTGAAGCACAAATACTTTTGTTTGCTCCTAAAACTCTTACATCAAATAAATTGGTGGTTGACATTGATTTCTGTGAAATCGCTGAAGATGGCTGGCTTACAGCAATGACCTTAGGGTCGGAAATATCTGTAAACAATCTTTTCATGCATAATGTGCATTGCCTTCGTAATAAAAGATTCCCATCTGTTTCAGTGAAGCAAAATTAAAAGACATTTCAGAGTTAAACGAATAAATGCTCTATCAGTACTTTCATATCCATCGATACTAGTTTCCGATTGTTGTGATCCTATACAACTCACATCGTTCATGACCATTTTATTATGGCGTTTCTGCGAATCGTTTTGAAGAAATAAACGAGAGATGTCTTGATTAGCACCTTAAAATATTAGCTTTCGGTAGAGATATTAAAATCATATATAACTTTACTTTCAACTAGGAAAAAAATTTCGATGTGCTTTTTATTTAACCTGTAAATAAAAAACTTACAAACAAACAAATTAAACAAACCACTCATCTCTGCATCGCTATAGGGAGTGACATTTTGACAGTATTGAGAAAGAGCAACATTAGCATGCTTTGATTTGTCTGATATGCGTAAAGGGCTAGGATCCCTATACGCTGGAGGAACTGGAGGAAGTTGTCTTCTAAAACAAGAACTTTGCTCATCAATTGTTTTAAAAAAATTACACAAACAATTTAAATGTCGGTATGACTTACAGCTAACTTGAAAACAAAGCATCGTATTGAAAACAAAGCTAACCCTTGAAAATTTGTTCCAGTCAGGCCCCCTTCTCGTCTTCCAATAAATCCTCGAAAACCCCGGCGTGTACTCTGCAATTTTTTTCAAACAAATTATACAAATCAAACAAGCTTTATAAAATCAAGATACATGTTACCAAATGTAAGACTTACTGAAGTCCATTCACCAGGCTTCAATTCAATATCATACTTTCCATCAGCACCAAAGCGATAAGAATTGGATGTACGATCATCCCACTGAACATCTACCCAGCCTAAACAATCAAAATCACTTGTGCTATAGACGAATATAAATGATGTAAATTAAAATGAAGACTGACCGTTGTCCACAACAGACATTACTGTGCCTTCTGTGTTATTTCCCTGATTGTCCCATTTCCAGTCCGGACCTCTAACCACACGGCTACCAATTGGACATGCCACTGTATCAGATGTATTGATTACACGAACTCCTCGTCCCATACTAGCTGCTAGTAGACGGGAGCTACGCCGATAACGAAATATTCTGAACAGCATCATCGTTAACAAACTGACAGAAAGATTAAGGTAAAGCTGAAAAGTTACACTCAGAAAAAAATGATACACTTGACAAGAAATACGAAACCTATTTTTCATAGCATTCGAAGAACTATGCATCGTATCGGCTCCCACAGCCACATTTGAAAATTTATTATTGGTTTGAATTGCAGGCGTGCGTAAATTACTAGCATCATTGAGAGCTGTACTTAAATTGACACCAAAATTATTCACAGCTGGTGAAGCTGCAACAGGGCTAATATCTGTCGATATTAATTCCTTGTGAGGAATGAGACATTTCTTCACTCGTTTAGCAGCTTTTGGATCATTGTTGGATGTCTTAGTGCTCTCATTCAAAATTCCGAAATTATCAACCTGTAATGTAATTTATAAGTGAAGCACATGCACATCCAATAAAATATTTACCATTCATCACATTCTCATCAAGAAACACACTATATACAACATTTTTCTGTATCAAATTTCTTTTCGTACATTCAACGTCTATCACATAAATTTAAATTCCGTGAATGTAACAATTTAGACTTTGCGTACATAACAAAATAATTTAAATTCAATATGAAATATGAGATGAGGAAAACGACACGAACAAATTGTTTTTTTTGGAAAGGTAACGTCCTAGCTTCAAGTAGCATTCCTTGCATATTCTAGAATTAATGAGACCATGATGAAAAAAATAATGACAAAATGCACAAAGAGAGAATAAGATCAGTAACTATTTCTACACAGCGCTCTTCAATCGGTTGAAACAGTTTGCTTTCCAATCTCTTTTTTTTTCCGATGCATCATTCCAATATTTTATTTATGCTGTTTTCATATAGAATTTCGACAATTCTTGCAAAATTTGTAGGCATAAAAGTTCAGAAAAATACTTACTACTGCATCAACTACATCCCCATATATTTCAAAACCAGAAAGCGACAAAAAATGATTGTGATTGCTAGCATTTTTTCCATTCTGTGCAATTCGAATATATCGATATGGACCTAAAAAGATAAATGTCAAAAATGATTTTTTCCGTTGAAAATTTTGAAACTAACTTAATCACAGAAGATAAATAATAATTTAAAAACTACTATACTCAACAATTGAGTGTACAAACACACCTGTAGTACAAAGAAGAGTCCACGTGGCCGTGGATCCTGGATAATTCAGAGCTGTATCGTTCTCATGTATAAAAAGTACATCCCATGTTAGACCGTTACGTGAACCCTGGAGAACAAACTTCCATAAATATGGTTCACTTACTCACTGAATTTTCGAAAAAGAGATGCTAAGCAAGGAATGCTACTAAAATGTTTAGTACACAATAAACAAGATAAAATTATCTTATAATACTCAGTATTTCAGAAAAAGGTGGTATAAACCTGTAGAAGCCAATTACGAAGAGCTGATCGTCCATAACCACGAGCATGTCGAAGGGTATAATTATTGGGATAGAAATAAATACCGAAGTCAATGGTGAAATATGCATTCCTGCAAGACAATGATCACAAACGCAAAGTACAAAACACACCTTTTAAAGGTTTCTGTTGCTAAACAACTGACTTATCATCCGAAGTATGACAATTGAGAGCGTTTGAATCCCGACTAAGAATGTCTTCATGCCGTCCATAAGGCAAGCGCTCCCCATCAGAGCTGGTTACAATTACAATATTTACACTTGCTGGATTTATCCATTCAGTTACAGCATTGCCATTTGTTCCAAGCCAATATATAATACCTGATATCAAGCTTATTGACAAAATATCGCAGCGAAAAACTTAAGATATGCTTATGTATATAAAACTGAATACAGTAGACTCCACAGCATTGAAATTTAAAAAAATTTGTTAATTAAAAAAGAAAAGATTCTATTAAACTATTAAACCGGTAACATCCATGAATACTGACTGCTACTGCAAACTTTACTATCATTTGCACAGAAGTTCTTACGAGCTAATTAAAAACTATATGTACTGAATGTAAAACAAGAAACCACTGTATTAGATGGAATGGAATGGAATGCAATAACACAAAACTGTTAAGATGAAAAATTGAAAATGCAAATCAAATTTGTCAACAAAATTCAAAATGCTGAGAACAAATACTGAAATGATAGAAAAAGGAACCTTTATCATCAAAATCACTAGTATAAGTGAACGAGATTTTTGAACCATTTCTCTTTGCCTCACTTATTTTTTTGATGAAATGAAAAGTTTCACGAGCCTGATCATACCACTGCTTGGAAACCATTCGTGAGATATAACTCTTCAACTGCTTCACTGTAGTTAATGGTTCTGCTTTCATAGTCCTACCCGACCTAAAAACTAGTGAAATGAATATCAGTTAAACGATGTTATTTATAAGTTAAAATATGAGATTACAGCGAAGCAGAAGTAAAATTATAAACGGAAAATTATAAAAATAAGTTTTTAATCATTCATAAATGTTTTATGAAACTGACTACACAAAAAATTTACTCATGACTGAAAAATTTCCTTGGTTAATGCTAGAATATTTTAAAAGTCTAGAAATTTCTATGATATCGAGTGTTCCATGGAGAATGAGTGGTTACCGATCCAATAGTTGTATCTGAGAGGGTGTATTTGGATTCAACTGTTCCATTCTTAATTTTATGCGGCGATTTACCAATTGTAAGCCAAATGATGATCCGCCAGGAGTGTCATAAAGATACTGAGGGAATTTCTCAACTGTATCTAGAATCGATACTATTTTACCAATAAGAGCCGAAAGAGAGCTTTGGTCTGCAAACACCTGAAAAATTTAGGTGAAAAAAACTGATAACAAAGCTAGTTCGAAAAACGAAAACAATGGGATGGATATGAGAAGGAATGTGACAGAGGTTCATGACTAAATTATAAAATCTATCTCGAGTTTAAGAGAAAATATATTTATTAACCTTCCGAAAAATTATTAGCAAATTTTGATTTGAACACTTTTCTATAATCTTCAGAAATGCTAATAAAGCATCAACAATTCCGGATATCGACAACTCAAAAGTTGATAATAATCGATCTTTCACAACAGAAGCATGCATGCACTTCAACGCTTTTTCTAATTCCAAAAGGATGTGTTCTGGTACTAAGTCATCGTTTCGTCCACAAATCTCCTAAAAATTAATTACATTACTATTTTACAATAACACGGTATCAAAATGTTGTAAGAAAACCTTTGTTGTTCATACTATATGGCAAGAACCCAAAATGAATTATCAAAACTCTATATATAACATACCACATATCAGTTACATAAAGGTTTCTATCAACTTCGGACTTCTGCAGCATATCACAAATCCTTTGGAAACATTAATTAACAATACTAACCTTAACTATAAGCGATGCTTTTTTCAATTCGACTAATGCATCTCGTGGCTTTGAATGTGCCTCTCTCAAGTACTTATTCCAAATTTCTACTGCCATTTCTTGCAATTTTGTCCTCTGAGTTTCAGTGCGGAAGCATAGACAACGTACACCATCTCGTACAGCAGAACTGGTAACAAAGTCTAATCCTAAAATACAGGGCAATTGATAAAAAACAGAATCAACTCAAAGTATGCTCGCATACAAGTTAAAAAAATACACAGAAAAAATTTTAAACATATTTTAGCCAAACACTACGTTACTCTAAAATTAGCCTTAAATTTTCCCTGTCTGGAAGCAACCATTTCTTTGACAAATCCACTACGAAATAAAACCTGGTAAATCTTCCACGATGATCAGACGTTGCTGATTTCCATTACGACTCGTTATGATCAGTTCTCCCGCTTTCAGTGAAGTCAAAACCCAATTTCCAATCTCTATCTACAGAAATACAACGCAAGTAAATTGAGTAAACAACTCAGCTTAATTTGAAATATTACACTTAATTCAGCTCCAAAAATCTGAATTTCCTTTTACAAAAATTTTTTTTGACAATCGCTTTTACACTGCATATTTATACTTGAAATATTTTGATTGAATATACCATTTTGTTAGAATTCGGAGCGCTAAATATCGAGTAAACAACACTGCCTGGTACCACAGTATTATAGGTTTTGGTAAGTTTATCTAGAAACTCACAACGAGCCTCAGTACTGTCATGACTACCAGCCTCTGGATCCCCACTGCTAGAATTTTAATATACAAAAAAAATAAAAGAAAATAAAGATATAACGTAATATGGAAAGACAAATAAAATGAATGGCATGCCTATACATCGTATTCAGTTGTCCATCCAACATGTAGCGAAACCGACCACTACTCCCATCACTGAAATCTTGTTTTCATATTCGCTAGACAGAAAAGTAGATTAAAATATTTCAGAGTCCAAATTATTTTCATATTTTCCATGAAATGAATAAGAAACCTAAATTCCACCGCTACAGCATCACTCCAAATGAAAAACGAATCCCAACTTTTGACCAGTCTCCAACCTTTCCATCGATACATATTATTTTCAACAATTTCCCACTGATCATTTAATGCTATAGAAAGATTAATACGATATTGATTATTAATTATAAACTGATTTTTAACCTCAAATCAACTTTTTTACACAGTATTTTAAACTTAAAAAAATTCATATTTTTCAGGACCTGCAAATGCAAGAAATGATTCTGAAATACAGCACAAGTTTTTATGAATTTCTTTCATTACAACCAATATCCAACTTTAGTGAGACGAAATACTAATGACATATAAAATACTAACCCAAAGCAACCGAAATACTGGAAGCAGGATCAACAGCATTTGCTATGGCTGGTAATGCTAGCTGTGTAATGCATGAACTACCAGCAGCAAACTATAATAATTAAGTATATATTTCTAAAAGTTTTGGATAACTTTATCCACAACAATATAGCATCAACATGCATAAATATATAATATAAATTACTACCATAAAAATATTTCAAATAATCTATATTTGAAAAATTACTAACTTCGTTGGAAGTGTCGAGTTCATTACGATCATGGATTTTAATTGTGGACTTGATTGCTGAAAGTAACACATTTCCATCACTGGAACTTGCTGGTAAATGCTTTTCTCGATTTTGTTCACTGGTTGAATCAAAACTTTTATCTGCAGTAAAGTTCAAAAATAAAGACTAGTCAAGTTTTTTTAACCAAGATTTCGAACTTAATGTAAACGAACCCGGTGAAATCTCCAGCAGTTTTTTAAGCACACCATCGGTAACCGTGAGAGACGATGATTTCGATATGCGACCTTTTTCATCAATAATCATCACTGTTACAACCTTAGCTGATGGCGCTGAATGGTTTGTAATGGATTCTATTTTCTCAAAGACTCCAACACGAACCAGTTGATCGAGCCAATATTCCGCATTTTTGTTGAGGAGAGATTTTATAATCTGCAAATTCGAGGAGTCATTGGATTTTAAAACGAAAATTAATGGAAAACACAAAATGTATGAAATCCAACTGGCAACAGCAATAGCTTGGTATTTTCAAACGATCTTCTGAAATAAAATACGTATTTGCTTCATTTGCGGCAATTTTATTTGATAGTCTATGAATATTTAATGCAACACAAAATAAAACACCATTTTAAATTGAGGAATATATATGACGTCGTGTGCTCGTGAATGTACCTGTAAAACATTCTCGTGTGATTCTGTATCATCATCTTCATGTTCCATAGCTGTTATTAAAACGTTGACAAGACTTTCAGTAAGCTGTTGTCCATGCGAAAACTTCAATGTCATTGAGGCATGAGAACCACTACCACATTTGATCAATGACTGCAGTGATTCAGGTGATATATGATGGACCACTTTACGAAGCAATGATAGGCTAGATTTACGCACATTGGCATCAAGTGATCGCTGCAATTTTTAAAATTATTTGGTTCCAGGTTTCGCGACAGAATGACAAGCTAAGGAATATTGGCTCTAAGTAATAATATGCATAGCTTATAACTCATTAAAATTCGAAACAATAATCGCTTCCACTTTTTGAGAACAAGAATTCCATAAGTTACAGATGTTTCAAGTATGGTCAGTATTGTCTTTTTTATTACTGTATATCTTAATGTGCCCTTGATTTCGCACTTTCAACTACAATCACTTAATGCAAATAAAACTGATAAATCGATACATTAATTTTTAAATCAATGAAAAAATTTCAAATTAAGAAAATAGAAATAACTAAACCTCAAACACATCACATAAAACTGGTAAAAGCTGTTCCAGTAACTGACGAACAGTTTTATGGTCAATCTTCTCACTGCAGACCTCTTTCGAAATTTCAACCTTTTCCTCCATTTTTTTTCCTAAATTTAGAAAATTTAAAATGGTAATTTAGCTATAAGGATGTGACAAAACTAACTCAAACACTCAAAATAACACAAACAAAAATTAAGCTGATATAAAAATTGACTTTATATATATATAATATGCTGCGCAAATAATACCATTATCTTTATTGAATATGAATGGGTCAGGATTTTCCAAAATGCTTGCTACAATTTGATGTTCGTTTTCATTTCTTTCACGAGCTTTATCCAATGGTGTTTTACCTTCTTCATCACGAAGATCCGGATTAGCTCCGTGCTTCAACAAAATTTTCACTATCTAAAATAATCCGGAATTTATATGAGCAAGAAGTGAAAAAAAAAACTCCTGAATTAATTAAAAACAACTCACATCTGATCTACCAAAACAAGCTGCATAATGCAATGATGAAGATCGTTGGCCCCTGTTTACATCAGCACCCTTGTCGCATAGATATGTTACCATTTCAGGAGTACCAAATGCGGAAGACCAATTAAGCAAAGTTTGTCCTACATCATCAGTGAAATTTGCATCTACCTACAAATGGTTTTGAAATACAATATGCGTCAAATACGAGTTTTTACTAGAAAAACAAAGTACAAATAAAAATCTACACTGTAATAAAAAACTAAACAACCTAAATTGCAGTTCATAAAATTCATATATTTATATATCCCTAATCAACTTCGTTTGAGAAATCTTCAGAGGAATGTTTTAATAATATCAGAACGAATCTCTCATTAGCCTAAATTAGTAAAAAATTACCTGTCCCGAATCAACAGCATCAATCAAAGCATCGGTATCACGTTGACGAATCGCATCGATAAGGTGTCGATGTGAACGATCAAAGAAATTTGAACCTAAAACAACTGCTCAAATGCCTCAAAAAATTTTAAAGAGAAAAATGAGTCATGAAAAATTTGATTTTGGAACAAACCTGTTTCATTACGACTAGTAATAGAAGAAATCATGTTTTTCGGTAAAGCATGACGCCCTTCACACAGAAGTACTACAAGAAGGTCACACAGACGCAATGCATCCATAATGCATCGTTCATCTTTACTACTCCAGACTGCCTTCAGCGCATAAAGAAATATTGGACAGCTGCAATTAAAAAATATGCTAAATAAATATTACGCTGATTTTAAATTAATACTGCCGATTCGCATATATATGTGTACATAAAACTAAAGATGTGATACTAAAATAAACGGAACTCTAGTTTAATGAACGGTAAAAGCATTTACAACAACTGAAGAAATTTACCTTACAACTTGTTCTGTAACGGTAGGCGAACCACGACATAAATTACTAAGCAATAAAATAACAACTGAAGTAAATGAAGTTGGTCGGTTCAAACTGAATGATGTTGGTGACATAACTGAATCACTTAATACGACAGATCCAGATTGAGCTATATTTTTAATTTGGCAAAATGATGTAGTGGATAATTTGGCTGCAATATGTGAAGGAACCAAGGACTTGAGTAAATGTTCAACAAGATTTCCATGTCGTGCCATTTCTATAGGATCCATGGATTTACGGATAAATCGATCAGTAAGGGTTGCAAAACAACGTAAAGCACATTCAGATACCTAAAGATCAAGTACTTTGCTTCATGCTTACGAGGACTTACGAAATGTTGATGAGTGCCACAAAAATTGGACATAGTTTAAGCAAACAAAACTAATGTCAAGCACAAATGTGATCAAATGAAAATTAGTCGTCTATCAAGTGAATATTTTCGACAAAAATAACCTTCGAGTCATCGTGCTCTAGAAGGACTCCTAAATTAGCACTGCATTCTGGCAAAGCAGAATCATTTGGTTCTATTTTGCAACATAGTCTTGTAATTACAGACATAGCAGAATGAATAGTATCCTAAACAAGTACAATGAAATAAAGGAAGGCACTGCAATGAATTTATTGAAACAGTGATGTTTCGGTTCAATCGGTGATTTCCATCAGATTACAATTCAGTTTCTTGAGCTCTGTCAAAAATCCAAAATCTGCCCACAAAATCAACAACATATTAATTTTTTTCCAGGAGAATGCATAGTTAAATTTAAACTGATATAAATTCTTGAAACAACTTAATTTTCTTACCTTATGCACATACTGTCCATGCTGACGGACTAATGTTAACATGCACTGTAATCCACCAGCATCATAGACAGCAGATGCTTCTCTCTGACAGATATGTTCCAATAATTTCACACACTGTTCAGCTACAATTAGAAAATCTCTCAAGCTTTTGAAAACTAAAAACTCTCTACTACGCTTATGAACTTCTAATAACTGAAATGCACAAGAATTTTAGAACAATACTGAAAATCAGTGTAATTTGGAACAAAATTAGCTGCCGATTTAATTAATATTTTAGATATTACAAGAATGCGGAGCACCAATATAAATTAAAGTTTTGATTTGAAATTCTAACAACGCTAGTTCGAATGACAAGTTTTATAATCTGAATAAAAATGATGTATAGTGCATTACCCAAATCTTTGCTGGTGCGGTTGCTCATTTCCGCAACTTTTAGTCTATTACAAATAGCTTTAACAGCGCCATCCACCTGTGTTATTCTTTTAGTGCATTCATTTGATACATCAAGATAATACGTTATTGCTCGTGCAGTAACCTGAATTTACTGGATGAGTCTTGCAAATTTAATGTGCCTATCCAGATAAGCACTCGATCTATAACCATTTACTTCTTATTCTTTCTTTGGATCTCTTGACCACAAATTTGAAGCATGTAAAAGACAAACCTCTAGCACATTCTCGGTAGCTGTTTCATCAAGAAATATCTTACACAGGGCAGGAAGGAAAGTTCTCGGGGGACAGCTTTCAAAACATTGATCGATGTTATCACTCATTAGTAGAAGCATACAGAGTTGTTCCAATGCCATTAGCTGAAAAACACTTTCAAACATTACAGCTTTTCATCCCTTCTTAATGATTAAAAATTAAAGTGAAGATAAAATGAGGTATCAGTAAGCCACCTGAATGTCTCTTTCCTCTCCAATCCCTGTTTGCAACCACTCCAAGAGGATATCCGGATCAACACCATCCATCTTACTCAGCCGACCTGACCCTGAACCAGCGAACCAAACACCCCTAAAACAATTTGTTTATAGTGAATTCTTGTTTGCAGCCAGTCTAAGAAGACATATGTGGCACGAAATCACGAGGGTCTTTGAAGCGAACAGTAAAAGTAAATGACAAAGATTATAGACGCACTGCACAAATATAATTTTAAAAAGTAAAATGCCTCCTCCTTTTTGTGGCTTCTAATTTATAAAGCTGAATGTGAACAATACAAAAAATACCGCGCACGTCCTGTCCTTCCTCACTTATTGCATAATTAAACTTGTAATAAGATGCAACTGATAAGCAATATCTTTCCAAGCAAAAGCAAGAAATCAATCGTAATCAATACAACACTAATCAAAAATCCATCTATAAATTTACTTATCGAAGTGCCAGACAGTCAGTAAATGATGATAGACGCAGAAGCTATTTTGACAGGAAAACTAATAACTGTGTCTTTGCAAAAAGCGATTGTCATATCCTTCATTCCCCTGATAATATTGACAGAGCAGTTGCAACAAGAAACTGATAATTAATCAGCCCATAGAGTCCAATGTTATCGTGCAAGAGATAAAATTTTGAAAACCACTTTAAATTAGACATAACCCAAAATAGATACTTTATGTGTGTGACTCTCTATGCTCAATGAGTGATTAAAAAATTAATGACAGCAACAAGAACATTGTATTATATGCATGAAAGTATACTCATTTGAAGACTGTAAAGTTAGTGAAGCTGATTTTGCTTGCATATACAATGAGTCAATGGCACATGTAGTTGGTTATTTTACTGAATATTGCCCAATCCGTATTCACTTATGGAACATCACGAACAACTGCGTGAGAAACAATACCGAATGATAAAACATTTGCGAGAGGTTGAAGAGTGGTGATCGCCAAATAAAAGTATAATGACTGCTTTCTTCGGTTTTATCATGTCTGATGAGAGAAGTAACGATAATGACACTGAACTAGCAATTTAGGTCCAAATTAATAAAATCGAGATTAAAAAACCGACTTCCCAGCCGCTCTGTAACTAACAAGTAATGGAAAATGAAAGAGGTACGTATCTGCTGACGCAAACATCACGTGCTTCCTTGTAAAGTACTGAAGGAGACATGCATTTTCATTTGCTGAAAGTGCAACGGTAGAAAGGGATATTGTCTGCATAGTTGCAATGACGTAATGCGTATGATTCGTGCAGTTGAACGGTTTGTTTGATAACTATGTGGTGTGGAGTCGTCTTAAAGTCATTAAATATTCTGAAGATTAGAGCTCAGTTGCTCAATGAAAATGAGTCGTGAATGTTGAAATAAATGTGAACGTCAGGCATTGACAGCAGACGAGGCGAAAGTAGGTTTTGCAGCAGGTAATGTCGGGTATGCCGTAAAACTTTATTGTTTCACTGATAGTGGCAGTAGAAGTGATGAAGGCATACGCTGTTTTATTTCATGACGGTCTCACTGAGTTACTACACTCGTATGTGTTTTTTACTTGCTACGTTGAGTATATTCGCGCTACATTCCATTCTCTTCAGCTCTGTCTACACCAGTGTACTGCTGACAGTCTACTTGCTTCTCACGTTCACCATGAACTCAACTTTCTCTTTGTGACAGATCATTCAAGCAGCTCCTGTCCTCTCCTCCTCTCTTTACTTTTTGCACAGAAATTTGTCTAATTTGATATAATTACTCTCCTGTATGTGTTTTATCATATCATCTTAATCTCATGACTTACTGCGATAAAAGTGAATGAGTGAGTCGACTCATCGACATAATGATAGTTGAACTGTTGTCTCTCAAAGACTGGTCTTCGTAACATTGAGCTTTGCTGAGTTTCACCTGCTGTCTGTGACAGTATTACTGAAAAGTGTATGTGAATGCGTTAATATTACAGTACGGAAGGGTGTGTGGATGTGTATTACATTTTGACGAATGAACTGCGTAATTTAGTAATAGCTGACTTTTTTATCGAGATTTTGATCATTGCAGAGATAGAATATGAACTGTTCGATAGACTCTCTGCTGAGAAAAATTAAGAGATAGTGGTAGAGGATGATGTCTTCGTCAATTTTGGTAGAGATTATTTTCCATGAATATAGATGCTAAGAATCATATTACCCTTTCTTTTCTCTGTTATACTTCCGTTTTCGCGATCGAATTTTATCGCAGTCAAAATGGATAAGATAGTTGTTGTTGTTGTAAAGATTTTTGTTGTATTTCTGTTCAGGCTTTTCAGTTCTTATCAGATCTTTTCCCCAGTGAAGCATTATGAAAACATCTTGATCGTGAACATATTTGTAGATTGTTACCTAACTTTCTACGTACAAATTACCTATACTCATTCTTCATTTAGGAATTTAACAAATGTTCCACAATGGAAACTGATGACTCCTTCGATTTTCTGTTCAAGATAGTTCTTATTGGTGATATGGGTGTTGGTAAAACATGTGTTGTGCAAAGGTATGATGAGACACTTTCGAATAATGTTCAAGCGTAGAAAATGGTTTCATAAGTAATTTTTGTTGTATTTGACATGGTTTATAAAAACTTCTACCATATGTGATATCCAAAAAATAATTTTTCGCCAAATCCGTTGCTTAGAAACTGTCATATGAGACATGTGAATTATTACTTTCTAAGATCAGACCGCAATTTTGCTTGCGAAATCATTTTCTGCACTTGGATATTACTCAACAACAAAAAATCAGTATTTATTATTCATTATAACTGCAGATATTTACTTTTATATAATTTCTTGAAAGTTCACGAGAAATTTTCAAAAAGCTGTTTTGAAAGTTTGTATGCATTTGAAAATGAATAATTGATGTGTCCTCGAACATGGTTTCTTAATTGTAGTTAAAATTGGAATGAATGTGATTGCTATTTCATTTTTAGGAGGGTAGTGTTATTTTAGAAAGAAAAGTTTCAGATTAATTTTTGTTTGGTGTTGACAATCTTCCCATCAAGGAATACATGTAATATAAGCAGTGTTTAGAATTCTCTCAAGTTCCAGATTTTTGCAGGTTTAAAAACGGAACTTTTATTGAGAGACAAGGTACAACAATTGGTGTTGATTTCACGATGAAAACTCTGATTATTGAAGGCAAGCGTGTTAAATTACAAATTTGGGATACTGGCGGTCAAGAAAGATTCCGTACAATAACCCAAAGTTATTATAGGTTAGTTCGATTTTTTCATTCATTGTCGAGTTGTTGATATTTTCCTGCGCTATTTTAGAATGAAAATTATGTATTCTGAAAGCAGACTCAATGAGAACTTTTGCACAGTTGAAAATAGAGCCTTGATGTTGAAAGAAAAAATATAATTACTCTTAATCAAAGTTTTATATCTGATCGATACTTTCAGTGGAAAAAAATTTCAAATTAGTCATTATTTGCTCTAATAGTATTATAGATCTGCAAATGGTATTATATTATGTTATGATCTGACATGTCGCCAATCTTTCGAATCTCTTCAGCGTTGGATAGATGATGTATCTAAGTTCGCTGCTCCAAATGTTTGTAAAGTACTAGTTGGTGAGTACTTTTTATTATTTGTGTCAACAATAATTTGCTGCTGCATTTCAATATTTCTGTAGCTCATTACTTGACATCATATTTACAAAACTGGATAAACTTCGTATTTTAAGCAGAAAGGTTTAGTAAGTTTGTCTAAGCAAGTTTGATGAAAATTTTTCCTTGCTGATTTCTAGCTACGAAAGCAGATCTTGAAAATGAACGTTTTGTTGAAAGAGATGAGGGAAACCAATTAGCCAATGCACATGGCATGTGTATGTTTATTGAAACATCCTCTAAAAATAATGTTAATGTCGACAACGCATTTTTGGAATTAGCACGTCAATTAAAAAAGCAGTATGAAGCGGGTGTGCATTTGGATTTCCAGTTGGATGCCTTTAAGATTTCACAAGGCACAACATCTATCAGCTCAAAATGGGCTTCATGTTGCCATTATTTATGATTATCCTGCTTATTGCTTTTAGTTTGAAGTTTTGTGCCCAAAGGTTACATTTCTTAAATTTGTAAACTTCAGAGGATTTTTAGCAAGTTTTATATTTTGTCATAGTTTCGAGGTTCACATTTAACTACTCTTATTTTTTGCCTAAACATGTTAAATATAGACTTTCGTCTTTTAAAAAAAATAGATTGCAATCGTTTTTGTGCATTGAGTATTGGAAGCTAGGGATGCGCATTGGAAGCTAGAGATTGAACTGGTGTGTATGAATTTGTTAAAACTAATATTAATTTTGAAAATATGTGAAGCAAACCCAGTCCTGCGTGTTTCAGTGATCTTTATTATTTGTTTGAATCAGAAATTTGTAGACAATTTTTCAGATTGCGAAATATTGGGAAACAAATTTTTAAGATGAAAATATTTCTCAAAAATGACGATCCAGTGTTTCAGCGTGTGCATATTGTACCTTCACTTTGTTAATATAGAGGCATAACTGTTCATTAGAAATTAATTTACTCACTGAGGCTTTCTATTAAGTTTTATTCATGCAGGTTAAAAATGGTAGTTTTTCGAAGAATGAAGTTTTTGAAGCTGATAAATAAAATCTATCGCTCATGTAGTTTGTTAACTTTGTGAGGCCCACTGTGTAGAGTGATGGGCGGCATTATCTATAAAAATCAAAATTGTATTTTTCTGTGCCAATATTTCCACATGTTTGAAAATTGAAATGTTTGATTTGTTCGCTCTAGTGCAGTGATAAAGACGCTGTCATCTTATTTTGGTAGTACTTGAACTAGTTCCCATTTTCTCGAATGCTTTACTTTCTGTTTGTTCATGCACAAAAAGATACTTTAAATCGGGGTATTAGATACCTCCTACATCCGTTCATAAATGTTTCTGAAGATTATCCTCATATGACATTAAGACTGTTGGAAAACAGATTTTCCATCAGTATTTAGGTTTAGATTTTTGCATTGTAGTGAAAGGAGTTGGAATGAATTGAAGTTTGCATGTTTTGCTATAATTTATGGTAGTTGTCAACATGATGAAAAGGAAGTGCATAAATTTACAAATTTGAAGTGTGCGTGATATCCATGGTGGGCATTCTTATGATTAATATACTGAAGCAGCAAATGTTATGACTAGTTACATATGGAGATGTTTTGGATTCATAACCTCTGATTTCTACCACTAGGTAACGACTTTGCTCGACTTCAGTAAGAAGTAACGCCTATCTACCATAAGTTATGGTGAATTGTTGGCAGTGCAACGAAGTAGCTTCCGTAAAAAGGTCAAGGAATGGTGCAGCAGAATGTGTTACTTGTTTCACGGACGCATTTGAGACGGTAAGAACTGTGGCCTACTTTTTCAGATACATGTCATCCCTTCCAATTTTTTTAGTCAAGACGAAATCCAGAATCCTATCCACCGTTCTGTCGTATAAATGAAATATAAAAAAGCACAAAGTGGACAGTAGGAAAGGGAAGTATGAAGACTTCTAAGGTTAATGGATGCAATAGATCTTGTAGCTGTCGTATTCTGTAGTGAGGAAGTGTTCATTTTTAGACTGAAAACTCAGTCTGCTCTACTGCCTATATGGTCATTTAAAGTCAGAAAACGACTGCGCTCTTGAGGATGGAATGCGAATCAGCTGATGCAAAACTTTAGAAACAAACTGTATATTGAAACGGACGTAATCATATTAGACATTGGTAAAATTAAGTAAATAAAACGTGGTAGGAATGTTGGACCGATTTTATTTTTCGGTCATTTTCAAGCACTTTTCAACTAACAAGTTAGAAGGTGCATATTTTGTTTGACTGTATAAGTCTTAGAAATATGTGATACTCAACAAAATATAGAATGGACGGAGGTATCTCCTGTCTGCTTGATATTGTTACGTTCAATCCCTTGTGTTGAAGAAATCAATTGTAAATACCTTCTTTAGGAAGTCTACAATGTAATCACAACGCATAACTTATTCAAAAAAGGTCAAAAAGTTGCTGTCGGAGCTTCAGGTGGTAAGGACTCAACAGTTTTAATCCATGTGTTGAATAAACTGAATCAGAAGTACAAGTATGGACTGGACATTATCTTGCTTTCAGTCGATGAAGGGATCGCGGTATTTTTGGAGCAATATTTACATAAATTAGGACGTATAAAACTTAGGAAGTGATTGAACCTGCAGATTCTGTACTATATATGGCCGTCTTCTTGATAAAAAGGCAGCAAATTTGGAAGCAAGTCACAAGGACACCCTATTCTGCTTTTCTTTGTAGGGTTATCGCGACGAATCATTAGAATCCGTTCAAAGGAACAAAAGTGATTATGGATTACCGCTTGTTATAATATCTTACAGAGAGCTGTATGGTTGGACAATGGATGAAGTAGTCTCGGCTGTTGGCATCAAGAATAACTGTACCTTTTGTGGTGTCTTTCGGAGACGTGCTTTGGATAGGTAGTTCTATTCCTAGATATTTCTCTGTAATTGCATTTACATTCTCCTGTTTCTTTTTGAGATCAATCCACTCCTTGCAGTATTTTAAACAAGTACTACTTCAGAACTGCTGCAGTGCATGGTGCAGACGTTATTGCTACAGGCCATAATGCAGATGACATGGCAGAAACAGTGTTATTAAACATTTTGCGAGGTGATATTGCTCGATTGCAGCGATGCACCGATATTATAACAGGTTTGGTTAATAGTATGCTGATCCAAATTTGTAATTTAGATATCTATAACCGAAAGATCGCATTTGCGAAATTAATAAGCAGCTGTGGAAGAGTAGTTTGTTATATAAAACGCGAGACTCTTATAGCTGCTACGCTTGGTACTTTTTTGAACAAAAATGTTATCTTTTGTTCTTAACTAATTGAAAGCTTCTTAGCATGGGAAGAAGGTTTACCTCGAGTAAAACCTTTGAAATATGCTTTCGAAAAAGACATCGTAATGTACGCGCACTTCAATAAACTCGACTACTTTTCCACTGAATGCAAATATTCACCCGACTCATTTCGTAGTTATGTGAGGTACATATCTTACAATTCACCGTAACGACAAATGCGCCCTATTATCTCTTACTTGAAAGGGAACTTTGCAGGGCATACGTTAAGGAGCTCGAGAGACTGCAACCACGAGCTATTCTCGACTTAATAAAGTCAGGCGAAGCTATTTCCGCGCGCAGTGACACTCCTCTTCCTACAATAACAACTTGTGAGAAGTGAGTTGAAAAATTAACCAGACTCAAAAGTTGTTCTTATATTTTTCGAACCCATGTATGAGTTGTACATTATATACATAATTTTTAGATGTGGTTGTATGTCATCTCAAAAGATTTGTAAAACCTGCAAATTGTTGCAAGGTCTATCTGATGGCAATTATGATTTGGGCGTGAAAAAGGTAGATTGTTTTCGCGTTTAGTCGATTATTGAAACATAGAATATATGCCTTTAAAAGCAAGATTTCCAGTCATCGTTTTACATTTGTGATATAATGATTTCCTATATCTCATGTACAGCTTTACTAAATGCTGCATTGAAGCTTATTGAACTACTATGTCCATAAAGTTACAAGTATGAGATCTGTACTAACTTTTCAGAGAGCAAGGAATGCAACAAATGTCGATTTAAATCTTCACATGAAGTGTGACTGCGAAAAAAATGATAGAAAATTTTGTTTTTGAGAATTCTTATTGTCCCCATCTAACATAGAAATAAAAATAAGTGCACACAATCCCATGACATTCTGTTATATCAATGACCAATATTAAGATGTACGTTTATCCCTTTGCTTTGAGCGCGAAATATCCCTAGTTTTATTAATCGCATTTTGTATGGCAATCTGAAATAAAGTAGCTCTCTCCTATTAAGTTATCGTATCTAGAAAATGTAATGAAAACTTCAAATCACCTTCTGCGGTTTTTTCATTTTTACTGGAATTTCTATAATTACTGGTCCTAGATCAAACCATTCTCTTAGAGTCGAGTTCATTTTCAGATGAATATTAATACTACCGTGTAAAACGTCACATATAAGTTGGTACAGAAGCTTTTTCCCGAATGAGTCTATAACCAATGTTTCATGGCAAAATTTCACGTCAAATACTGGCATTTCTTGATCCTAAAAAATACTTCAGAATAATATATGTTTTTCTAACCTTGGTCTTTCTTTACTCATGTAATAATTTAATTTATCATTTTCTGTAGTTTAACTAATGTTGCTCTCGCATATTTCAATTAAAAGCTTAAAAGTTCTCTATCTCACTCATTCTATCACTCAGTAAAAATAAGGAAACTGGATATCCCAATTAACGGTAGTTCGACGCCCATCAAATAGTTATAAAAATTTATGAGTCGCATTTCATCATTATACATAACCAAAACAGTCTTGATTCAGAAGTTGGTGTTGTCAAAACAATTTCAGATCAGATGAAAATACTTGATGCAAACAAGAAGCATCTTCGTTACACTTATCTATTAAAGAGTAAAAACTGCGTGAAATTACCTTAATAGAAATATAAATCTGCCTAAAAGTGGATCTTTGAATTCTTCGATCCTTTTTCGCTCGGAATTTCAGAGAGTTGGTTGATAAATTAGCAAATATGTCCAAAAGATGCTGCTGATTAGGGAATTGGTATTCAGGACCATACACTGTGACTGCAGCTTCATGTAAAATTGCTAATGATTCAGCGGCACATATTCTCATTTGCAGCTTAAATACGTATCTAATATATCAGCAGATATAATGTTGTGAAGGAAATCACATTTTAAGTTATAGTTCCAAAATAAATTAAAAACGAGCTAACTTGCGCTCCATTCACAAATGTAGATAATTTTGGTTCATCCAATAAAGCATTTTTTAATATTTCTCGCCCTCCCTGAAAACCTATTAATCATTATACCTGTGACATCATTTAATGATGTAGGGATAAAAGAATGATTACACCACTCTGATCACGAAATTTAAAAAATATAGACACACAATTACATGGCTATTTAAGAATTTATGGCTACCGTATTTTCATGATAGGAATGAAAAGGAGAATGATGAAATACGTTTTTTGCCACAAATTTTTTTTTCATCTAACCTGGAAAACTAAGAGAGTCCATCCTGATAAGGCTGCACAAAACAGCTTCACGGAACTAGTGTTCATTTTAGTATTAAACCAAATTGATCTTAATGCACTGATGCATCTAGATAATGACGACGCATGCTGCAGAGACAACAGAGTGCAAAGTGCAAATGATAGGGCACACTCAATACGCAATTGGACATTACGTCCTGGATCCGTGCATAATTGGCATAGAAGGCTAACAATTGTTTCTATTGTATCAGCAACTTCTTCACCTGTAAATTGAAATGCGATTGGTAAGACAAAATAGAACATCTTTAAATGAATCACCTTACACTTTGAAAGTTCTGGTCATAACACTACTACCAACCTAACTGGATAGATATAACAGAAACGATGGATGCAGCGACTACTGCTTCTTCATCACTTCTACGCAAGGCACTGTCAATTACGTCTATTAAGGTGAGGGACCACTTTTCGAGGTGCATAGCTATATACTGTTCGGTCAATAATTTTTTGATACTAAGTAACGCAGATAAACGAACAGCTGCACTGAAAAAATAAAATTTGAAAAGAAATTGAAAATTAAAGAAAATGCATGAATTTAAGCTATTACGAACTTGTATAATGAGTAGATTAAAGCCACTCCAAAACTGAAAGTCATCAACAATTATATTCCGAAAAACTCCTGAATTTAACTAACTCTTCTTACTTTCTATTACTTGCACTATCAAGAAATTCACCCAGACGATCGAAAGGAATCGCAACGTCATTCAAATCTTCGTTGTCTGAAAAAGCATCACGAGGAAAAACATCTCAAATACAATGTAGAGAAAAATTTTCTCAGAAGCGAGCATTTTTAAAAAATAAAAATCTTCATAAATTTATTGTCAAATTAAAATAAATTAGAACCTAACGAAATGATTATTTTTCAGCTATTAGTTACATAAAGTAACCTCCTAAACACTGACTGCTTTGTATATACAAATTAAAACGTGAAAGATTTACATATCTTTACCTGAAATACATATATCATTATCATGTGATACACCTGCAGTATTTGATTCGGTGTCATCGTCATCACTAGTAATAATTTCTGTCGCTGAAAAACGCATTACAATGCAAGGGATGCCGGAAAAGTAAGCTTTAATTTACAAAACTAAAAACTGTACAACATATCTAAAATGCGACCAATATATGCTTTATAGGAATAGTTTTGAAAAAGCTATTCCAAAAGCTTGTCGTTTAAATATATGTCATATATTTATTAATCTTGAAATTAAAATTTTAATCATGTACTTTTTTTACTTGAGGTTATAGGCAAGAACTTGGCTAAAAACTCATCATCAGGTAAAGCTAAACTTATACTAAACAGCTATAGCTGCTCAGCAAAGAGATAAATGAAATACATGACCACGAAAAAATACGAAAATTTTAGCTTTTATTGCCACGAATTGAAAGTCTAAAAAAAACTACCTTTAGAACGTAAATTTGAGAAGCGATTAGCATAGTCTTCCCGACCAGCTTTGTTTTTGTTGCGCCGTTTTCCCATTTTCAATGGGAAAGTTAATTTTCGATTACTTAAGTAGAAAGGCACACCTGAAATTCAAGAAATACAAACAATAATTAGATTGCTGACAATTTTCCGATGCCATAGAGAAACACAATACCTAGATTATAACGTTATACGTACTTGCACATCCAAAAATTCAAACAATAACGAAGGAATAGGGATGCAATTGATATCGTCAGGTGATTGTATTTAATGCATTTGAGTAAGCAGCCGCAATAAGCACACATTGCTACACTTTTGGATCACAAACAGAAAATGTATAGAAGTGTTTATTAATCGTTGATGTCGACTTTTTCAAGTTTGCAGAATAACAAGATTACTTTCGTACTGTAAATCTGAATAGTTGTTGCAGTTATATCGCAGCAATGTTAAAGAAAGTCAGTGGAGATTTAACTAGTCGTAGGGATGAGTTAGTGTTTCAGCACAAACATTACTTCAAGCAGTCAGTGACTTGTTTCGTTATAATTACTGATGAGTAATCTTACAGTAATATTTCTTACATAATTTAGGTGAAAATATTCTCAGAAACTTATTTTAATCCAATTTCAGAATAGTTGAAGCAGACATTTTGTTGTCGATGTTAAATACTTTGCGGTAAAATGGAGTAAAAGCACAATAATTAACATTGTAATTTTTTTGTGTTTTGCCCGAGTAAAATTCTAAGAGTATAATTCGAGATGAAGTTGTATGAAGTATGATTGCATCTTCTTCTAACCAACATTATAAATACGCTCTAAATTTTCAGTGCTTCTTCACCATAATTGCTAGTTGTAATGTGCAGTCTGTATACAATAAATAATTTGCATATCCTACCCTTTGGTGAAGAAGATGAACTATAAATGAGTTCATGATGATTTTGCGTATACTTGGAACTCATTAGCAATACTTCATTTTGCTTTTTGTCATTCATTATTTTTTATATATGAGTATTTTCAGAGAATCTGTGATGAGACATAAAAATTTAATTTTTATTCTGCAGATGTTATCGTGCATCATACGTTACTCTACTCATTTCCATTTCCAATTCCAGTTTTTGTTTACTGTGGTACTCATTTAATGTTCTTTGCGAATTAAAGTAGAATTTCTGATGAACCTGGGAGAAATTTTATTACTAATTATTTGGCTGCCTTTAAAAAATTTAGAAACGCTTGCTGAAGTTCAGCTAAGTTTTGCCACTAGTGTCGAAATAAATATTTCGCAAGTCGCACAGAATTTCGTCCCCATGTTTCCGGCCCTTTCCAGTGGTTAATTATTTCGTCGCAATTATTTACATCGCGGATCAACAGGTAGGATCTCAGTGCATGAAACTTTCTTCGCAAGTAAGCATATTAAATTTAAAGACCTCGCAGAGTATAATGTCGCATGTCTCTGCAAAGTTTTTTCTACAGTGAACAGTATTGTGTTTTGTCAAAACTTTTTTCAAGTATTCAGACTAATTACTGTTATATAAAGGAACAAAGTCATAGCAGTAATATTATCAATAATACAACAAATAAAATAAGCATTTTATAGCGAGGTGGCATGAGTTATTTGTGCAGTAATGAAGTAGTTAGAGGATGATATCCATTGATCTCAGCAATTTTGGAAGCGTTGAAAAATCCTTTTGCTGACATGACAGCCCCTTTGCCTATTCAATTATTACTACCTCAGTGAATGCCATTCCATTCATCTATCTGTTCACAGCTATATGTTGACAACCAAATATTTCCGGTAAAAAGTCGGTGACCTTACCATGTGTATCACATCATTTCTCACTGCACTCCTTCCTCCATTCTTCACCACCTCAATATTTATTTATCCGATAATCGAAATCAACGAAAGCCAACCAGCTGACCTTTTATATGATCATTTCAACTATTTTATCAAAAAACTATACTTACATTTCTTTTAGATTTATGTGTAGTTCTTGCACAACATCTTACAAAACTTTCAAGCCAACTACACTACAATTATTCATACATGTTTTCATTAATGCAACAGCAATCAAACTGACAGTCTGCATGAAACTGTCGTTGACAAGAAAGCATTTAGAAACATAGACAAATAATCAATACCACTTTACTTACAAAGCGTTGGCATTAGGGCAAATTCTGAGAAAATTTTGAAAGTCAGAAGAGTGAAGATCTGAATGGCAAATAGTAGTACTGTGACGCACAATTTATTATCGCTTTCATAGATTAGATATAAGAAATGCAAGGAATTAAAACGTACCAAGCTGATCTATAGAACTGGAAACGTAATTCAATTCTGGTAAGTGAATGGTGCAGGAAGCTAAATGTAATAGACCCAAACGATAAAACATCATTTCTGCTATTAGTGGCGTCTTTCTACAAAGGAGACACAATTAGCAGATAGTATTTCAAGCAAATTTACCAGATTATTCTTGGTAAAGTAATTAGAAAAATAGAATGTAGTAGAAAACGCAGCCAAACCAAAAGAATAAAGATTCAGAGCATGTGAAGAAGTAAACTGGACACATGCTTGCTTTGTCTCTGAATGCTCATTTTTGAATAATTTATTTTCATTGTAAAATTAATTACTTATTCTTCGCTTAGTCATATTATTTCAGATGTGATGCTTGAAAAAAGATGAAGCACAGTAAACATGATAATGCTTCTTGTTGACAAGCGAGTCAAAACATGCATTTGAACAATAAGTTTAGCACAAGAAACGAGAAAGTATTAAATTATTGAGACAGTAATGAAACTTAAGCAAGCGAAGAAGTGACTTAAACGAAGAAACAATATTGCAAACAAGATTGTCCAGCTACAATTTAAGTAGCTTTACTAAGCTTATTTGCTGTTATTTGAGTCAGTGCGAAAAAATTATGCTTTGCTAACAAGATCAAATAAATATTCATGACTTGTGAAAGAAAAAAGAAAAAGGCTATCATAATAAGTTGTGAAGATGTTTTTTCTTGCTGAGCAATCTGAATGCATCAGAAAAAATCCATGTAATTGAGCACAGAAGCGTGAAATGATTACAGTTTTTAGGCAGCGGACCATGGAATACAAATGCTAAGTTTTTTACTCGTTCCAGTGCACAACTTCAAGGTAATTTTAAATGAAAACTGAGGTTCACGTATGATCACTTTTGCAATTAGCAATAAAATCAAAAAATTTTGTTTATATTACATATATAGTATATACGCAAATGATTCAGCTTCTATTTTTTTTTACAATTATTATTTCTTTGTTTCATTTCCTTCATCACGGATTCCAGAGATTTTGTGAGATAAGAAACGTAGCAAGAATTGCATTTCTTACGTTTTATTAGCAAAGCTTCATTATGTAAGTATGATTTGTTGTTAATTTATATACATACTATTGTTTTTATTTTGTTCAATAAACTATAAATACTAATGTTTTAAGTAGTTTCTTAAGGAAGGTAGTGGCTGCGAGAAATTAAGAAAGGTATCTGTCCCAAATTTGAGAGTATTTCTTATCACTTTACTCATTATCCCGCAATAACTGCTTGTAACGGATAATGTCAGAGACGAGAGCTGAAGGAAAGCGTTAATATTGTTATTGGTGGTTGGAAGAAGACAAGTATAAGTGCCTTTAAGCAAATGAGCTTGAATCCCCCGATGACACGTATATCCATTTCTATTTGCCAGTTTCTAACCAGCAAATGGCTCTCAGATAATTTGCACAATTTACCGTCCAAAGAGCTCAGATTAAAAGAAACCATTTATATGTGCAAAATATTAAAAAAATCTTGCTTGTTAACACTGCAGTTCTTTTGCTTTCTTTGTTTTTCATCCATTTCAAACCTTCATATTCTTTCTAAAATAAAAGAGAATATGAGATTACTTTGATCTCTTCATGGCAAGTTACTACTGATAGATTTGAAATAATTAATTAATCTTTCCTAACCACTCACTTTCTAAAAGCAATTTGCACTACTCCATTACTTTTAGTCTTTGCAATTAAAAAAATACTATTATAGTAAATGACCCCTTTTTTTGTATAAAAAATTTTTAAACAAAGTATAATGACCTTGTGGTTGTTTTTACGATTTTTTTCAATATTTAAAACTTGCTGGTTCGAAAAATTTTCATTTTTTTCTATAAAACAACTAGAAGTAACAAATTTTGTTTATTATTCAAGAATTGAAAAAGCAAATATAATGAAAGGAATTAACAGATTTTCAATTCATCAAGAGGCAAAACATGAACTGCATCAAATAAACAAGTTCCGTAGTATAACAGTTATCAATCAGTACGAACCAGCGATAGTTGCCACAGCATTTGTGGACGAATATAATATATAGGCAGATGATGATGCCCGTAGTGGACCCGATGGTATGGTATTACTAGCATTAGTCCGGTTACTGATCAGGTTTTCATTTGTGGTAGTAGTATTTACTGGATTGCATTCAGAGCCCGAATCTCTCATCGAACTTACCCAGTAATCACCAAAAAATCCATCTGCAAAACAATTTTTCTTCTCATTCTTACTTCAGCTCTTAATAATGATCTGATTGCTAGATAAATAATGATGAGAACTTGCAATATAATAGCAAATGAAACAGAAAAGCAGAGGGATACTAGGACTACGAAGGTTTAGTTTCGAATTGTTTTGTTCATTTTTTTAATTGATCTTTTGCAAATAATTATGCCTCGAGTGTCATCACAATGCTTTCTTTTATTTCCAAGAAGTTATTATTGAATAACGTATCCATCACAAGAAACAAATCTTTGAAATTCTGGAAGAGAAAGATAAAAAGTGAAGACGCAAGAAACAGTCAAATCTTGTCAACAAAACAACTGTCATTTTAAAATCATAATCAGTTTTGGTACTCGAAAAATTCAAAATTTATTAATTCCTCAAAGCAATAAATGTATTCTTCATCATCCACTTTTGAAGCTTGAGTAAAAAATGGTAAGTTTTTGAAACATTAGATCTTCTTTTTATTGGGAAAAACACAACTTAAAATACCTACTTTGTTTCATGTATTTTTTTTAAGATGAACCGATAATAAAATTGTAGAATTTTCATTAATAAGAATAAGTCATTAACATAATGAATAATTTGCTCGGAATTAGCAATACTTCAAAAATTTTTTACAGGGGCATTCTACAAATATGAAAACCAATTTGTCTTTTTGAAATCACCGAGTGTGACGCCAAAATTTGTTCTATCTTTAACAAATAAAATCTTTTTTAATCGAATTACATTTTCATTATTATACCTATATTTGTTATTTGCGAGACATTTTTGGCGACAATGGAAAATGTGATAAACGATTTCTAACAAAAAATTCAAATGCTTACCAAAATATGTCGGAGAATTTGTATTAGACGATGTGATTACTGTAAAACCTGTTCCATCCCACACTTTTTCTTTAAAAAAAGCTATTTACGGTAAGAAACATAACTCTGAATGTATTATGAATATCGAGATTAATTACAACGTTTACAAATATAACCTTATTTTAAATCGCACAACAAATGATTCACTAAACAAAACAAACTTTACATTTAATTTTGCACTAAAATAAACACTTGTAAATGTTTGATGACTTTGATAAATCAGTGATGTGTTACCTGAATTTATGCCACGGCGTAAAGAAGTGTTCTTAGTACCTGTCTTTAAGTTTGATGCTAACTGTTGCGTTACTTGGGAACTTTCCATACTGCACTGAAACAAAATGGCACTGAGGACTGTTGCATTGATTGATAATTGTTTTAAAAAAATTAATAAATTTTTATCAAGTAGCAGTAAAATTTTGTTCAAATAAACAAAACAATTTTGACAAAATTGTTACAAAATTAGTTCATGAATGATTTCAATTTTCGGTCCGAATAAAAAAGTCCCATTAAGAAAAATCCGATAATAATATCAAAGTGTAGTTAGTGTATTTAGTCCATATATTTCAGCAGTACTAAGCAAAAGTATTCATAACTCATAGTTATTTTGATGATTGAGAATGCTTTTATGGAAAATTGAATCTTATGATATCTGCAAGCTAAGTATAGTAAAAATTGAAGGCTAAACAGACCTTAGAAGGTTGTTCAAAACCAAGAAGTTCATTGATAGAATAAGGAGTGGCTGGTGCTAACAAAGTTGTATTTTGAAGAGTTCTTTCATACATGCGTTCTGTTGCAAATTTATTCCTAACAATCCGATTAATGGATGAAACGCTTGGAACATTTTCCGTATCACAAATGCGCTCCTAAAGTGAGCACTTCATTGTAGAGATAATAGTTATCAATTAAAATCCTCTCAGCTAATGAACTTTTGCTGAGATAAGTAATAGTAATAGTCTCAAGAAATATAGGAAAGTTGAAAACTGGTAGTATGTGCATTCTTGTTCAACAAATGGAAATTTGAAAAAAAAGTGCTTGTGAAAGATGTTTTTTCTTCTAATGCTAAGATCTGGTATGGATATTTCCATGCCACACCTTAAAATATCTTAAAATTTACTCAGAGTAAATACTAAAATATGCATTGATGAATGTTTTAAGTTTGATTAAACTCATTATAAACTATAAGACAAATAGACCACAATTTTAAAATTATAAGAGAAAGAATAAGTGTATCATCATTGCTTCAGAACCTTTGCAGTGATATTTGATTAATATGGAAAGAATGATTTTTTGCTCTTGACAGAATCTAAATAATACTATGGAGGTGCACAAAGCACATGTGCTTCATTTTAGTCGTGATCTAATTGCAAAAGTTGTTTTTTTAATTTTTGAACTTGTAAATTGTCCTGAGAAAATTCTTCTAGAAAATGAAGTTTTTGTTGAAAAATTTAATTTTCCAACTTTTAAAAAATGTCAACTATGAATAATTTTGTTTTTTTGATGACAGCAATTATGAAGGGATATAGTAAAATATGAAAATAATGGTAATGAAATATTATACTTTTCAGTTTAAACAGATTTTATGAAATTTTAAAGAATGAAATACGGCAACCTCTAGCAACTTTTCTCGAATTTCCCAAGCAAACATGGTTGGATTGGCTTTTTTATATGCAGCAATTGTTTGAACAACTTTTGGAGTAGCTACTTTTGGCTTCGATCCACCAATGACGCCTTGAATGATTCATTAAAAACATAAAATTCTGAATGTTTGAAAATTTTGAGTTTCAGAGAATTTTTACTTGATCAAATTGTTTTGTTGAATCAGAGAGTAGTGACTGTTGAATAATATTAAAATCTGCAACGGATTAAAAATACTAGGAAAATTTTTGCAGAAATTATTAGTATAACAATAATGGATTGAGCAATCAGCATACTTTGAATTCGATTTCTTTTGATAACAAAATATGGGTTTGAAAAAAAAAGTGTGCAAATATTTTACACAACACAATGCTTTCATTATTGTGAGTTTGACATGTAAGATGTGCGCGTAGCATAGGAAGAAGTTCAGACTTTCAAAAGTAAGACATCGATTGTAGCGAAATGGGACTGAACGCAAGTAATGAAAGAAAGAATTACTGTAATAGCAAACTGAAATAATTTCTGTAAAATATACTATGAAGGACCTGGTCGAATGGATCCAGTCTCATAATAACGGCCAAGTATTTTTGACACACATCCATGTGATACCCGCAATTGACGTGAAATATCACAAGGACGAACACCCTGATGCGCTAGTTCTACAATTCGATTGCGGATGTGATCAGGCAAAGGACGTCCATTAACAAAAACTCCACCAAGTTGGTTGACACCCGTATGACCTGACATGAGGTAATTGGTATAAGAGAAAAATGATTTCTCTTTTTTCATGGTAGTCAGAAAATTAATTGCTAAATAAACAAATTTTTTTTAATACTAATAATTTGTTATATATATGCATGAGACAATATGGTGGAATTTGTTATAAAACAAAACAGAGATATACAAGGGCATCAATTGGCTAGAGTCAAATGTCACAATTTCAAAAGTTAAAGAGAGACGAAGGCTAGCAGTACATGGCAGTCAAATAACAACGCATAGATATGGAACATATTCATTTGCTAAACTAGCAAATACTCATTTCCACCACTTATATTCTGAGTAATAACCATTATGCATTTGGTATCAGTAATTTGAATATTACAGTTACATTCAAATGCATCCAAAAATGTGTCAGAAATATTGCTTACTGGTAAAGGGTTGAGTGTAAAGAGCAGCAGCAGCAGCAGCTGCTGCTGCTGCTGCTGCTTGATTTGGTAGAGTAGTATATGCCGGACTGTAGCCAGTTGCGGTAGCGGCATATCGTGGCCATAAGGAGCAGTCCATAGTCAGATTCGACGAGCGAATGACCGAAAATGCTTGAATGCACACCGGAGGGCAGAGCCATTTACAAGAACAACTCACTCCTCCTCTATCACCACCCTCCGTTGACGAATCAACCGGCCTTTTCTCCTCTGATTCCATCTCTTTCATTTCTTTGCCTAGAAAATGACGAGTCTGATATCGTATCACTTCCATATTTGCAATTTAACTCTTTCCAATTGCTTTCTTTATTCTCAGTTGTCTACACGAAATCATCCATTTAATACTATTGACTTACTTTTATGATACATGCTCCAAATCATAGGTCACCACTAACTAGTGCATTATCAAGTATAAACTCAGCTTTTAACCTTTTGTATAGTCTTTATCTGCTATGTAAAGACATGCATTTTACATTTTATATCAGTCAAATTTCAAATGTTATTCGAACAAGCATGAATTAATAGTATATACATCATCGCATTAATGTTTGCTTTCTGTTCTTTTATTTAATTATTGCGAATAAATGTAAAAAAATGAATGTAATTTTGTGAAGTTTCTATTCCAACTTTGAGACTTAAATTTAGCAGGTAATCACAACGACACGATAGGACATAATTCACCTGATATAAAAAAAGCAAATTTTAAGCAGTAATGTTCAAATGGATGGATATATGCAATCTACCTCATTTAAGTTAAGCTTAGATAGCCATTAAATACATGACGTTTTCACGTTGATAGCTTTTATTCTATTGTGATTAAATATCAATGCAGATGTAAAGATGTCAGAGCCGAATTTTGACAGAGTGCATAAACGAAAAAGATTCGAAGTATTTTTTTATTTTAAGTTTTCTTCTTTTCTCCTGCTATTCTAAAATTTGATTTTAATTTTGTGGTAATTGACAGCACAGAATTCTTGGAATAATTTTTTAGATTTTATCATATAGTTTGTTAAACAAACATAAATAGGATTTAGATTATAAATTTATTTCATACTCGATTTCTTCTATCATAAATGATTAATTAATTGCTCCAAAATACTCGAAATTAATTAGTGAATTCATAAAGTAGTTGAATAAAAATGCCCTATTAAAAAATGGAAGCTGTGTGTTTTAATTAATTTAATTTGCTTTCTATATTTATTAACATTATTTTTTTGTTCTATAAATATTTTCTTTCAACTCAGCAAAGTTATTATTGTTTCTTATTTATAACGCTTTGTAAATTTACTTCACAATTTATAATCTAATTCAGATTCAAATATTACGACTTATTTCATCACTGATTTTTTTTTCAATATTACTTGCGTTATCAGATTATTAAGCTGACTTCTTTCAATTCAACAAAAAAAATTCTTTTTGCTTAAGCATAAGCGATCAGTTATTTTTACTCCTACTTCTTGGAATATTTTAAAAGTTGCTAATTTTGCCCCATGTTTTTGATTCAAATTCATTCAAATCTGTTAGAATTAATGCTTAAGCTAATTTCTGTTCATCTACTTCGTTCCTTTTTTTAAAAACTCTTGAGATGCATAAAATAGAAAAAGCATCTTATTTAAATTCAATTATGAAATAAAAATTCAGAAAATCCTAATGGAATACAAATTGTCACCAGAACATTTGGTTTAAACAATTGAAAGTTTGAGCATGTTTAGTGTAATTACTTATCAAATAAAATAACTTGATTAATCAGTACAATTGATTATATTTGTCACATTTAAATATTGATAGCAATCAAACTTTCGTTAGTCGAATAATAATTTTTTAACGCACTATTATGATATTACATTTATTTTTAAACAAATTTTGATTAATCTGTTACAAGTAATGGGCAGCGACAATGCTTTAATTTTAAGAAGCTTTTGCTGCATAAATATCAATTAAACTGTTTTCAATTACAAGTAATGCTTTCTCAGTAGATTAGAAAGTTTTAGCATAGACAAAAATTCAAAGAAATTATGAACTGTAAATTACTTTTAGTAATTAAAATTGTTGAGATAGCAATTTTCATTTATTTATGATTTTAAAATATTTAAAGTTATAAAATATTTTTCTTAATGATGAGAACTTTTATTATAATGCGCGGAAATCCTTCAAGCAATGCATTACTTAGCATTAGTACATGCAGATGCTGTCAGCTCATTAAATGATTCTACAAAAGATAAATTACGCTTTTGAATTAAAATATTTTCATTTTAGAATAAAAATCATTAAAATTCGGAGAAATAGTACTTCAATCAGCCTTTTAAAAAAGTTCGAATTTTCTTGAAAACTACTAAATGAAAAAAATATTTTTATGAATATGGTCTATTTATCAATGAATAAGTCTGAGGAACAATGAAAATGATTGATACATAGACGAAGAAGGAGAATTACTTAGGCATTCAAGTAATGCGCTTGGGGAAATGATACTAATAGATTCTCTGCAATGTCAGCAAATTACTGTAATAATAAGCCAGCTGCTTCTATTATTGCAGTCATAAGCTAATTAAAGGCTCACAAGTTTCGCTCATAAGCTGATCTCATCAGGCAACATATTTCGAAAGTAAAGAAAAAGTATAATTTGTAAACGAAAAAATGAAAATTACGTCATACTGCAGATGAGGAATTTTAATTTTATGATGCATGATGGCTGAGTCGGAAAGCGTGAAGTTTAGGATAAATCAACTCAGAAATAACTGTTATAAATTATTGTCATTAACAGAATAAAAAATAAGTAAATAAAGCCTAGTCAAGAAATGTACTTGACAGTAGAAAGCATATTTGGTAATCATGAAATTTTTGACTGAATATTTTAAGCTACATGAAGCATTTACAGTTATCTTTGGATAACTTGAGGAACAAACGTTCCATGAACGATCGTATCAATGATAACGATCTTCATTATCTATGCCAAAAATGCTGGCATTACTGAAGTGTAATTTGTAAGGTATGTATGCTTTCATTACTAGTACGGTTCGTTTACTGTTTGCTACTTTATCTTTCTATGTGAAGTTGAATAAGTGAACTTCCCAATTTCTATTTGACAATACAAAGTGTAATTCGAAATATTTTAGTTTTACATTTAAAAAGGTAACTGAGATGCTACTGAAATAGTAAGTATACTGTAATGGTTCCAGGAGAAGTAAGCAAATGATTGAATGCTTACTGTTGAGAGAGTGAAAAATTGGAAAGATAGATAGATGAGAAAAGTTTTAGAATGTTTTCTTGAAAGCCGTGAAATTGATGATGCATTCAAGATGTTAGTTATCTAAAGAGAATATTGTCCTATTTAAGAAGAAATGTTTATTTGATGTATAAATAAATAAAGCGATTAGTAAGATGAATACGCTCTCAGGTTTTTCAGGTTTATGGGATTGTCCACCAACAGAAAGAACTTTAACGATGCTGCAGACTGTTTGCGCCTCTTCTAGATAACTATTACCCTTTGGTTGCTGGCGGAATTTGCAATTTAAAGAATAAATGTGACACCGTAATCCCAGTTTGAAGACACTTTTCTTTTTCTTACCTCTTCCTCTTTACATAATAATCAGTGTACAAATTTTTTTGATTGCATCTAAAACTGTGACAATTTTTTTTCTTCACTTCAAAAAAGTTCCATATTTTAATCCGTTGTGACAAATCAATTATTTAATTAAAAAAAGACTATGACTTCATTTTCAACTATTTTCATTATAGTTATTTATTTCATCAAGTATCACAGAGAAAATTTGTCTTGTAATATACTTCGAGTGATATAACCAACTAATAGTGCTTACATACAATAACTTTTAATTTCTCCAAAATATTTTAAATATTCTGTTCATACTTAACTTTTTTATACTTCGCAGCAAATGCCTAACGAAAAAGATTCCATCTTTGACCTTACAGCTAAGACTATAGAAAATACAGAATTCAGGACAAGAAGTTTTATGAATTATTACTGATGAACCAAATACCAAAAAAATAATGAAAATTACCTTTCCTCTTCCTGTAGTCATTTACAGTTATGGATCTGTTACATTTTCACTGATATTTGATAGAAGAGTGAGCTTAGCAGGAATTAGACATTTATTCTTTTAATTAGTGGTTATTGAATAAAGATCAGGTAAGACTGAATGAGTGAAGTTATTTGAGAGATAAATTATTTTTGAAGCATTTTATCAGGTCGTGCTGAATGGTGTCATGATGCGGTCACTGACAGTGCATTTCCATAGCTTATTATTATTATTGTTGTTGATACTAGTGCACCAAAATAGAGATCAATCATGATTTAGTTTAGTGTTGAAAGGCAATTATTTCCAGAATCTGCCCCAAATCGCCTATGTAACTAACCTACCTTGCACACACCAATACTTCTGCTCGAATAACAGATATGCTTTCTCTTCTATCCCACTCCTTGATTATTGATGCTCTTCTCGCATATAAATTTAATGCCATTCATAATTCAATGAAGAAAATATTAAATTTTTTTTCTCTGAGATCCATACAGTAACCCAAGTTTACGTAAGATTTTGCTACTGTTACTTTCTAACAATGTTAAATCGCGACATAAAACCTGTAAAAATTAAATCCACAACTAAGTATGATGTGAAAAGTTCAATTCTTAAAAAATTTAAAGTCAGTTTTGTAGTGTTAAGCTTCATCTTCCATGCATTCATCTTTTCAAGAATTTGTAACTTCGAATGTTTAAAAGTCCACTCTTGTTTCAAATCATTAATCACAAATTGCAGGAATATGTGAAATTCTTTCAGGATCATATGATATATCTCCCACTAAATTTAAAAAATTTTGATTGAAATATTTAGGACTACATTTTGCTCATTGCAAGCATCAATATTTTCCATAGCATAAAACGGATGATGATGCACCCTTACTTCGAAATGCATAGACGTCGCAAAATCATCAGTTGGATATGCAAAACATTTTAGAGCACAACTCTGGAATGAAGCAGTTTAATAGAAGAGACATAGAAGAAACTATTAATCAGGTAAAATTGGCTCCTGTTAAATATAAATTCTCCAGTTCAAAGATGTCGCTGACTACTCAAGTAATTAACAAATCCTAGATAAAATTCATTCCTTTCCTCAGTAATAAATCCGGCAATTGTTTACCATTAAATGGAGACATGAAATGTTTGCAGAATAAAAATCGCAACTATGTAATCACTTAATAGTCATATTGGTAATAACGAGTGGCAGACAGCACTTACATAAAGTTGCCAGAAATTCTGTATACTTTTTACTGGACAGTTTTTGAAATTAATGATAAATGTAAGAAATTTATTCACCAAACCCTATCAACTTTCAATTTTTGCAGTTAAGATGTGCTTGGTAAAACTATGATCCCTCACTCATTTATAGTGCATAACAATCTTATTGAAAAGCATAAATTAATTTCTGAAACTACTAGAACAAAGTATATGTAGTTCAAACCATTGTAACATGCTGCCAACCAGTATAAACTAAGAGGTAATAATACTTCATACGTAAAAGTTATAAAGAAAACCTCCAAGTCTAGAGTTTACAATACAAAAATTCCAAATTTGACGCGGTCAAACCAATTAAAACGATAACTAAGTGCGAAAACAATCTGTATTTGTTCGTAATGAAGCGGTTTTGCAACAAACATGTTACTGATTAGAAAATTAATATGGACAACGTGAATAAATACGGAAAACGAAGAAAATGTAAAAAAATGGTAAGTGGAATACTGCAACCAAACAAAACCAAACTTGTTTCCATTTCTATTTTGAAACCTTTTAACTTAGTTGAGAGAAGGAAACGTTGATGTACTTGCATGAGACCTGACTTCATGAATTTGCGAAGTTTATTTATGAGACACGCTGTAACTCAATTACAAACGAAATTAAAATTATAACTCACGACAGAAAAAACAATTTCTCTGAGGTGAAGAATGAACTACTTTTGAGTGAGCACAAAACATAACGTGTGGGATAATTTTAAAAATAAGCTCAAGAAGCTGAAATAGAGACTTTCTTTGTGAAGCCAATGACAAATAAAGATTCAGTCTGGAGAGCACCAACTGCGAAAAAATCAAATATGCCTCATGGGCGGAGCAACAAGTATTACAGCATCACCTCGAACAAACAACATCGGTATCTCACGCTTCGTCTGCTTATGCATCTCTTCATAATTTTCTTCATCCAATTCAACTGTAGTAACAACTTCCTCCACTTGTGACAATATCATATTTAAATGTTGGTCGAATGCATGCAAACGACCACGAATCTAAAAACTGCAAGTCTGGTTCTCGAAAATTGATGGATAACTAATAGTATCAATAGTAGTTATGGAAGATAAAAATCTGAATTATAAAATACACCTTTTCCTTGATAAACATTTTGCTAAATGGTCATGGTTTAGGAAATTCTCATTTTATAAAAATCTGCATTAAAAGATATCACGAATAACAAATTAAAGTCACTATCAACAGACATTACGCAATGACGACTTCGTGTTGTCCTGTCAGTGCTTTCTAGGATATTTCTAATATCTACACTACTGAAATACTAGTACCTCACGATCATTGCGCATTTTCACGTAAATCCTTTCATCCAGGCTTAATCGTATCAAATCGAGTGGCTCCTCTACACCTGAGCTAACAACCTACAAGTAGGGACTGCAATGATGTAAAGGAATAGAGAATCACACTTTTTATAAAAATGTCACAATAGACGGATAAAATAAAATAAAAAATTACATGCATCTGCGATTGTTCCGACATCAACCGCAACCAATCGAGCTCCCAGCCTTTCCTAAAATATTATTTGAGATACAGCGCTTCTCAAATGAACCAAAATTCATTACCTTGGATGGTTTATAATATTCTGACCAAAGATCTGTCTGTTGTGCAAGAAACACAAACACGCAGAGAAACGTTGTAGAACGTGATATGAGTGCAACAATTCAATTTTTGTGTTTATACAGGGTAAAAAATAATAAGAAAATATTTTAAAACAGTGGATTTCAAAAATAAAACAAATTTCTGGGTGAATGACATGTAACTCATCTTCAAATGCTGATACAAGATGCAAAGAACTTGGAGAAGTAGACTACATTAAGAATGATTTAAAAAATGAAAAGTGAACACAAGTAACAAAGAATCGTACTGCATGTGCTGCACAAAAGTTGACAATATTGTAGGAGAACATCAATTTCATTGACAGATTATTTTTTCATGAAAACAACAAGAAGAACACGAATGAATTGGAAAAGAATACAGACCAAGCTGCATAAATCATATTAATATGTACCGAAATTTTCAACTCTGACATATGGGAACAAAAATAGAATTCTACTCAAGGATATGCGAATTTCAAATGTTTGAAAATGGAACAAAATAACCCGCTACAGCAGAACTATAATTCCGTTTCCAATAACAAACAGCTTAAACTGCCGATAAAAGAATTTTTCTGGCAATAAAATTGGTGAAAGACGCATTATTTTGAATAGTGTTACAAATATCGTAATCCCATCAAATAAAAAGGCAAAATAAGAGGTGAAACTATAAAATTTGTTACAGCGTTACACACTAATCGTGTTTGATACGAGTTGTAGCAACGAAATGTGCTTTTGTTGAAGGGCAAAGATAACCTATGGGACCATCCTCACAATTTGCACATATCAAATATTTTACCCCATCACGAGCATGTGTAAATCCAATATTCTCGAAATCAAACATTTTCTCCACTTGCCACCTGTAATACATCGCCGTTTATGTTCTCATATAGTATCAAAAATTTTTAATTCACAAATAAAGCAGTAACGAGAACGAAAAAAAAAATACTCTCAGCAATTTGTTCTTTAATCATGAGTAATAAGATAGAAATGAAAAATTTTGATAAAGGCTAGATACTGCTTACTAAATTTCATGTTTACCATTTTGCAAACAATACTTCTAATAAGACATCTTTATACCTGACAAGCAGGTGTCACAGCATTTTCTGAGGGAAGACTAAATTCTACAGAATTCTTCCTTGATTTCAAAACCACTCTTTAATTTCACAATTTATTTATATGATTATCTGTACACCAGAAACGTAGATTTCTTTGTAAATAAGATTAAATCTAGGAGACTCTACACAACTTAACTTTAAGGCTTAGACCTGTATTAAACTAACCACGAACTGATAATTTCCGTATTCACAGAAGTACTGTTCTTTGCTTGCTGAGACAAAGGCAAAGAGAATGGCTTGGAATCCACTAATAACGCCACATCAGGTGACAGGATAGGACAGTTACATTGTAAACAACGAATCGAACGAGCATTTTTAATGTCTGTTGAAAGACTCTAAAATTTCAGCCGTCAAAACAGCCAGTAGAATGACTACGGTATGATTATATCTAGAAGTTGCGATATATCCAAAACTAATGATGAGCCAACGACTAAATATATATATATATATATATAAATAAGTGCTTGTATCTTGATTAGGAGACTAGAAAATTTAGTATTACGTGGTGTTCATCATCATCTGAACGCACGTTGTCCATTTAGAAATGATGAGATGAGACTATTTTTTAAAGCCAGACGCCGCTTCAAATCAGCTATCGTTTGAACTTGCTGAGTTTCGTTACTAAAAACTAGAGCAATCAGCAATGATTCTTCTAGAAAAATTTACTTAAAAAATGACTACAGTGATATTCTAATAGAAGCCCTTCAAAATGAGTTTAACTTTGGAGCAAATATTAACCTTAGTTGCCGCAGAACCCACGTTTACAGTGAAAGTAAGTGAACAAGAGATAGTTAGATGCAACAAACCCAGTTACGTCGGTGAGTGATTCTAGAGCTTCTTTGAACTGGTCTAGCGATGTTTCCAAGTACCGTATTTTTATCGAAATGTCCGAACAAGTTCCTTTTTCAGCTCTGTAATAAAGATGTGTTTATCAAGGAGACGGGTTTTGGAGCACGAATCCTGCTTTAAATGCCATTTTATAAAACGAAAAGATACAGAAGTCTCTAAAGAGAAGAGACAGAGTAACTATTGCAATATAGTACGAATTAGTCATACTACATTTTGATACGAAGGCTTGGAAAAGTTCAATTCCACGCACCTAGCACGTACTAACATCCACATTATCCGACTAGATAAACAGGTAACTTAAGTACAAACCATTTTTCTACTACACCCATTCCAGTTAATGCATGAGACAAAACAATTTCGTAAAACAACACTTACAAGATAATGAAGTTGTGGACGATGTTGTAAACGTTATTTAAGTTCTTGGCCACAGTGACCACCTCCTCATCCCCGCTCATAACAACCACACTAAGTGCTAAATAACTAATTTACTTACACTCATATGCATGTAAACGCTACCAAAAATACAAAGACACGTCTTCTCAAATATTACTTTTCTTTGCTCTGTTATTTACTCCACACACAGCTAATGAACACACACCGCCATTTCCGATATTTAAATCTATGTCACATACTTCGACTCAAAACTTTTTAATTCGAGGCAACCTTCTCGTTTATTCTCAAATGATGTTTCTTTGTCAGAAAGTATCTCATCTCACATTCAACAATTGTGATTACGCACAAGACAACTTCGTGTATCTACTCAAACTTTATTTACAAAAAGGTGTTCTATGATCAGCATTACTCACACTTTTCAGCAAACAGCAAGAAAATTCCCACGTCCTCAGTTATCCTACAATTGCCTAGAAGATGCTGTAGCTGGCGAGTATTCAGTTAACTACTGCAATAGAACTAAGACACGTTTAACTAACTTTTCTTAGTGAAAGATGTCTTCAATTCCTTAACATGATGACTCACAGTACATAACCACAGAAACCAAGAACTACTTGATATGTTATTAACCAAATCAATGAGTAGTGCATCCGCCACAGATTTTCCTTCCTAGTTTTACCTATTTTTTGTCTGAATAGAAATATTTCTTTGCATGTTTTTTTTCGAAATGATCCTCAACCGGACGGTTGCTGTCTGAAAATGCACAGCATGTTTGCCATACTTTTGTGTCTGCTTGGTAACTGATTGTTTTGAAGTGATTAGTAAAAGAGATTAAAGTCGCTAATAAGAATCTCAAGTTAATTTAACCAGGATATTTTTGCGTATATGGCGCTTTATTTATAATGTGTCAATATAATTATTTTTCCATCATTTCAAAGGAATTTAGTGATGTCGAAGCAGGTTGGCCTTTTTGAGAAGCTGGCAAATGCTGCTGGTCACATTTATCGATATCAACTTACTCAGGTGTTTGCTATTTCTTATTTTATCTCTTTATTTAAGGGTATTTTAATCTACTTCATACCTACATGCAGCTCGACCATTTATGGAAAAAGTTTATCAGAGTTGTGTCGAAATTTTTTTTCTCAAAATTTTACTATTTAATTTGCATATTAGCTTCCTCGACGAAAAGCGATGTGGAGAGATTGCTGGCATAAGGAATTGAAACCACCATCCCTGGAAGATTGGCCAGCTATCAAAAAGGATTTTGAACAAATGATGGATACTATCACTAGTAGATCATACACCCATTGGACTGTTATGGTGATAATTCTTTTATAATTTGTTTTATTTAGTACATTTCGTTGTAAACATGAAAAACAATTAGGTATAGCATATTACAATATAAAAATCAAAATTGCCAATTTAGTGGTTCATGCAAGTATTCTCCGATATCGCGTAGAATCAAATTTGCCAAGATTTTGTTTTGATTGTTTGCAAACTAAAATATAGAAATATAAATCCCTTCAGTAAGGGAATTCATACTTCAATTTAGTAACTTTACTCATGTTCACAGGGAAAAACTTGTGTTTATATGGAAGTGCACAAAACTAAATCCGTTTGAACATGGTTTGTAAATTATCCACAATACTTTCACTGTTTTGCAGGATACTCTGGTACGAACTTGCGTTGCAGTTGAAATACTTTGTTGGTTTTTTGTTGGTGAAGCTATAGGGCGTGGTTCATTTGCTGGCTATATTGTACCGGCCACTTATGTCGACAAAAAGCGAGCAAAATTAGCAAAAGAACTTAAGAATAATTCTCAAAATATTTCAGAAACGCACTGAATACTTCGTTACTATTTTGACTCATTCATGCTTTGAAAACATCTTGATACTATATGACTTTTCGCTTAGGAATCGATGTCAAAAAATAGTGCAGGAGAGGGCATCTGAATTGCATACTCGAGGTCATTATCATACTTTCGGTAACTTGTCTAACTGCTTGCGTTGTGTTCTGAAGATGGTTTCAATAGCTGTGTCTTTGTAGTATTTTTGCTTTAAAATCATGATTTGTTGCAAGAAAATTAGAAATGCAATAATTATAAGTGTATAAGTTTCTCTCATTTTGTGCTGCAGTGCGCCTTTTTAAGTTTAGTTATAGTCTAGCTTATGAACAGATATTATAGTCTAAACTATGAATCTGTAATTGTAAAATACCTGAAATAAAAATCATTGAATTGACAGTGCAAAAAAACATTTGAAATCGGGCTAAACTTGCAGTCTTTAGTTTTGTAAACAATCTATTTCATTTTAATTTGTAAGTAGGTTATAAATTAGTGATTTTACTTAGATAATCTGAAATACAAATAATAGTAATGAAGGTTTTGAAATCAATGCGTATTATAATACAAAAGTTTCTGTTAACGCTTTACTTTCAATGTACGTAGTCTAAGTTACATACGAAAATCCGTAATTATTTTCATTTCATTATTCCCATCAAACAGGTATAGTCTGACGTATGAACCTGTTAGTATTGTGGTAATTTAGGCTGTAACTTGTGATTTGAATCGCCCAATAAATAGGTTGGTGTCCCTTCGACATTCGATATAAATAATGAATCTCAACTTCTGAAGTATCGATACATGAAAGTGAATTATGGTTCGGTAGTTTTCTTCAGTTTATGCAACAGGCAAATCCTCGTAGACAAGCTACAACGATTGCTTTTTTATGTGACTTAGTGCAAATGTATGGTTGCCAAAATCTATCTCACAAGTTATAACGCTGTCGATAGTTGCCTTGTAGGTATACATTTTATTTCTCACTTAGGGGCAGTTTCCACCTTTTAAGTAGTCTTTGCTATCATTATGCTTTATCTCATGTACTGTAAGATGGTTCGCTGGTTTTGTCTTTCATTGTGGTCCTGATGCAGAATTGTCCTTGAATGATGACATGAATTTCCGACTTTCACGTCTGTCTGTGACTAAAATGTCTATAAACTGTAGAAGTGTAGAGTATAACCACTGGGTGATTTATAAGTGACTGATTACATGGAGGTGTTTGGACTTCTGGTTGGTAGTTATGAAGTTTGTTTGCTTTCTGTACGTCAAAAGTGATCCGTAATATTTCACAGTGTCGTTGCAGTTCGTGTAGCTCACCTGATTCTTGCTTTGCATTCAAATATACGAGCGTGTAAGAAGTGAATAAACGTATTCTTCATAGACGAGGCGTGTCTCATAGAGATAATATGCAACGAATATGGAGTGGGGTGACTGGTAAGCTAGCAGGTGTAATTACTTTGTGTGTTTGTTAAACTAGTAGTGAGTTTTGTATTTCCAGATGAGGCTGTCCTTATTAATGTTGTGGAGATGCAATAATCAGTCTTTTATTCTCTAAATGTTTTAATTTTGATTGTAAGCAAATTTTAGTTCTCAGCATGCAAAGTTATTTCTATCCTTTTGTCACATGGTGTTACATTTGAAACTAATATATATGAAGTTGCAGCCGCAAAACTTTGGAGTTGGTTTAAATTATATATTCTGTTAAGTTTCAGTTTTCTGTGATCTTACGAAGTAATACATTAATGATTTCGTATTTGAATCCTAGTGTAGAAGATGACGAAACTTTTGTTGTGTTTCTTTTTCATAGATTTTCTTATTTTAGATGAGGTGGTGGTTGCCGTTGTTGTTTGTCATATATTTGAGTGTCACTTCTGGGCAGGATGCGGATGCGAATGATGCAGCTCATATTGTTGCCTCTAAGTTTGCACTGTCTCAGTATGCAGTTGAAGGAATGGATTATGTTATAGATTATCGTCTACATAATGTTGGTGAGAAGGTATGTGGCTGTGTGAGGTAGTAGTTGTAAAAATAATCGCAAGAGGGATTATTTCATTATTTAAATGACTGTCATTGATATCACTTGACTATTCTGATCTTCTCAGAAAACTGCATAAAATTTTGAATTAAATATTGCATTTAGCTGAGTATGGTGTTCATGTTTTTTTCTTATAACTAGGTGATCTAATTTCACGTGCTTGCAGGCTGCTCTGCGTGTAACTTTAGATGATCGAGATGGTTTTCCAACTCAGGCATTTGAAATCATACGAGGGCTTTTGCAGGTTAAACTATTATATGCTAAGTGAAGATATTCTTTTGTAAAGATGTCTACATGACTCAAGATCTAGTGGATTAACGGTTGGGGAGACTTTATTAATAACAAATTACAGATTTGTACATTTCAGGTTCGTTGGGAGAGAATAAGTTCTGGCGGTAATGTCTCACATGCAATTGTGGTACGTCCTCGTATTGTTGGCGTTTTCAATTATTCATCTGCTCTCATCACTTATTATCCTAGCGAAGATGCCAAGGAAGTACGGATCAGCCACACGACTGCTCCAGGAGAAGGTTATTTAAAGAAAAATTTTTACCTCATGTTATGTTCAGCCTATTTTCAATATTAAGCACACTAAATATTTGCTCTGTAATATAATTATCGAAGTAAATCAAAGTTAATATCCAAATAGGCACAGGAAGAAATCTCTTATTTTAAAAAATCCCTATTATAAAAATGTTTTCAGCTTACACTTATCAGAAAAAGGTTTATGATCAAAAGTTTTCGGCGAAATTGGGTGTTTGGTTAGTATTTTTAATGCTTGTGGCGCCATCGACAGTCATTCCATTTGCACTTTGGTATCATAGTAAAACCAAATATAGTCAGGGAGCGCCTTCAAAAAAAAGTAAATAAGTGTTGCATAATTTTTCAATCTGTTTTATTGTGAGCATCTTTATCAAACTGTTAGAAATTTTTTGTGCAGCAAAAGCGTTAGTGTTGTAGGAAACAAAACAGACTTTTTTAAAATCCGTATGTGTAGAAAAAAAGTTCTTTGATTCGCATTTGTTGTCTACTAATCAGAGTTATTATCTTACTTGCATGACATGCTTGGTAATCTATCTGGTAAATATTAATCATTGCTATCATTTACTGGTTAAAAAAGATTGAGTATACATGTTCATGAAATTCATCTGTAAATTTCCTCACTCTGAATTTTGTTAGTTGAATAAAAAGTTTTAATGGCATAATTTTTTCCGTGCATTTAAAAAGAAGTCTGTTTAGTTTCTTGCAAGTCTGTTATCTTAAAATTAAGGAAATATTGAAGCTCATTCTGGTAACATTCAACATAGGAATCTTTGATGGATTTCAGCAGCTTTTGTTACAGTATAACGAAACTTTTTGAGACATTATTGTGTCACCAGAATCTAGGATTGGAAAGCAGCTGTTATATTTTTGATTGAATCCTATTTGTTGTCTGTTAATCAGAATTATTTATCCTTATTTCTGTGATACTCGTTTTGGCAAATATGGAATTAGCTCATTGTTAAATAAGTTATTTTGCTCAGCTTCATAAATTATGGCATTTGATTATGTACTGTTGAATCATTATTTACATCGAAAGCGCATTCACTTTTTTCATCTTTCTGTTATGTAGTGCCGCACATGTATTTTCTATGAGTGCACAAGAATTCAGTCTCATTGTAATATTTTTTGGTTTGAGTTGTGTAAAGTGTAGCTGACATTTTAGGCAAGTCATTAAGTTTTGTTTTTATTTACCTGTTTTTATTTTGGAAGACAGTTTATTGTTATTTTAAATTATGTATGTCATAATAATTATACTGTTTTTAATGTGATATTTGCAGAATAAAGTAAAAACTTGTAAAAGGTTGAGGGTCGCGCAGTTTTTTAACAGCAATTCTAACGATAGAGCATGTGCGAAAGGTCTTCATTATCATCTCGCTCTTATTATATCATGATGTAATGAAAATTTTGGGGACAGAGTGAATTAATGGTATCAAACGGTTTGAGTGGTGTTATACAGCACGTATGTCGAAAAATACGATAGTTAGTGGTGTAAAGTACTGGTGATAACAAAGTCATTGTTCTGAGAACGTTCCCTTCGATCGAGTAACTTGTCTAAAGTTAGATTAGCAGTTCATGCTGGAAGGAGGAGGAATTGAGGAGTATCAAGTTCTATATTGTCAAAGTGAGTTGTAGAATACCTTTGGGTCGGTTTATAATACTCCCTCTCTCTCCCACACTAACACCAATAATACTTGCAGCGTAAATTACGAGTTTTTGTGTCGTGCACAGACCTCACTCACATTTCAAAGCTGGAAACTGTTTACTTAAAATCTAAAAGAAGCTCAAGAGCTGCAATGTCGTTAACTTAGTTAACTTACTGACCACTGCCACTTCGAATATAATTCTCGCACCACTAACCTACAGGCATCTTTCCTGCTCATTTTGACTTCTCTTGAAAAATATTACTTTACTTTCCGTTACTTATTTAGCAAATTAATAAATCAGTCATTATGACGTCAACACTAATTGAAAGTCGAGATGGAAACAGCTATTTCTAATTTGTGGATGAAGATTTATTTGATCCCTTTCAATTAATTTTACTATCATACGTTTCTAGAGGTTTTTACATAAGTTCAGCCATGGTTTATTTCCGTTTTCCAGAAACGCTTTCTTCTGGCGGATTATTTTTTTGTCCTTTTTCAGATTTATACAGATTTATTTGCAATCATTGTTTTGCACGTGAAAATATTTCAAATCTTAAAAGAATATTGAAATTATTAAATATAATGAATACATTATTCTAGCATTAAAAGAATGCAATGGGAATACCAAAAAATCATGTCACACAAAGTTTTCTATCAAACTTTTATCACTTTTTTCTTCACTGTCTTTTGAAATGAATAAGTTAAAATAGCAAAAATGAATATGCAATTATTTGATTTATAAGTCATTTCAGAATTACTAAAGAAAGTAGTTGACTTGAAAGATTTTTTGACAATTGTAAAAAAAACTAAATTTATATTTTTAAGACATAATAACGGTGTTTGCAGTGCTGTGAAGCAGAAAGACGTATGGTTTTTTTAATAATCAATTTATCTGTGTTTGTCTATGAAGCAATTCTTTGTTCAGCATTTGCTACAGGGAATAATTTGGATGATTTAAAGGTTAGACTTGGAAAATACTGCAGTATTTTACCTGTAATTAAGTAAAGTACAAAAGTTAAGTTGACTGGAGACATTTTAAAAGCAAAATATTATCATTGGACTGATTGTTTCTAATAATAATTTTATCTCATCAGTAATTTCAAATCACATCATTAAAATTTACTACCTCTGATTTGTTTTTTGTAAACTACAGTATTTTAATCGTCGACAAGCTGATTTTGAAACATTCCTCATGCCATCCGATTTCGCTGTAGCTTCAAAACTACAAGATGATGATCAAAGTATTGATGACTGGGTGATCTATAACAGTGGCAAATTTGAAGGTGATATGGACATTGATATTACTGATTTATTATATGTAAGTACGTTATTTATCAAAATCCTCCAGTTTTTTTTTTTCCATATTTTGTAATCCAATACAGTTTGCTTGAAATTTTTAAATACAATGTTTGCTTTAAATTGCATCTTTCAGGTTTTCGTTCTGATTCTAAACAGTGCAAAAGATTATTTTTTATTTTGTTGTGCGCAATGCATGACTGTATATTTTACTTTTTCGCTATCTTTTTTTGTACTAAATTACTACTAAAAAAAGCTCGTCTCTTATTTACGTTAGTGATGGAAATTAGAATTTTGATCCATAATTCTATATTAAACTACTACCTTCGCTACATCTATCAGACTGATTCAAATGATGACAGTGATGAGAGCAGTGCACTAAAGAACAAGTTCTACAATGCAGTACGGAATCGACATCAGTTATGGCCTAGTTCTAGAATACCTTATGCGTTGAGTAGTCAGTACAGTCCTTATAGGTAAAATATGCCAAACTAATTTAATTTTTAAATTTCTTAGTCAAAAAACTTGTCAATTTGGCTTATGCTTTGTACGCTGTTTATCGAAGAAAAACGACTTAAAAATTCATTAATTTTTGAGAATGATCATTTCATGGTTTTACATTATATCCATTACGTATGGCAACTGCAAATTTAGCATATACTGCTACTTAAAAATTTTTTCACTAAAAAATTTGACATATATTGTGTCACAAAACAAGTAAAGTTTTATACATTGATGTGTCTATCATGTCTGTCATTTACACATTTAAAATAAGTAATTACTGTTTTTTTGAAAAAAGAAATAAATAATGCCAGATCGAATAAAGGATGAGTTTTCCGAAATGCAGTGCTAAGTAAAATTATCAGGAATAAATCAATGAATTTGATCACAATTTATAGCCGTTCAGTGATAGCTGCTGCAATGGAGGAATATGCTATGCGTACGTGCGTTCGCTGGGTACCACGATCTATTGATGATTATGATTACATCTATATAGTTCCTGATCGAGGATGTTACTCAATGGTTGGCAGAACTGGTAAATCAGCTTATATTTATATTCTCGACTGTTTATTCAATTTTTCTTGCTCTGTAACTGATTTTTTATTGACATATTTCTAGAAGCTGTGACACAGTGTTGTATTGCATAAAATATTCAACCACTTAAGATATCGTTCACAAATAATTAACATTAATACCGGCAATAATCCTAGTATAGCAAAGAAGAATGTAAAACCCAATGGTGTGCTCGGGAAATGATATTTGTTTGTACCATATTCGTGTTCTGAATTTATCAACTTAATGTATTTAAGTTTTCTGAGAATTTTCCCCTTTTACTTTCCTCTTACTTGGTGAAGGAGGCAAGCAAACGATATCACTCGGTACGGGCTGCATTCAAAAGGGTATTATAATGCATGAACTAATGCATGCAGTTGGCTTTTTCCATGAGCAGTCAAGAAATGATAGAGATGACCACATATCGGTTTTATGGGAAAATATACAACCTGGAATGCAAGGTATGGTTTCTTACTTTAATTTTCAGTATGAGAATTTTTTTAGTAAAATAACTATATTTGCAGGTCAATTTGAAAAGTACGATCATGGGATCATTGATTCTCTAGGAATTAGTTATGATTACGATTCAATTATGCATTATGGACCGCGGGCTTTCAGTAGAAACGGTCAACCAACGTTGGTGCCGAAAATTCCTGCTGTTATTGGTCAACGACTACGCTTCAGCAATCTAGATTTGTTGAAAATAAATAAACTTTACGATTGTCCACTCAGTAATTCATATCTCTAAGCGCAGTATTTTCTGCAACTAAATGAATGCTAGCTGATAGGCGTGGAAACTTGGCGGACATTAAATTTTACAACACTTTGACAGTTTTGAGTTCTTCAAAATTTCAGTAGTTCTGGACGTCGAATTAGGAATTTGCTCAAGGCTAATAATCTATTTTGTATTAAAACTAATTTGACATATTTGAACTACATACAATCTTTCCAGGTGTGAATGAGATAGAAATAGCTGCAGTGACACCAGTTTCTGAAATTACAAAGCAGCAAAAACCCACAGATGAACTTCCTCATTTGATGATCAATAATTCATGCAGAAACATTCGATCAGATTGCGAGGAACTTTTTACTTATGGTAGTATTAGGTTTAACAAGAGATGCACAAGACAAAAAAGAAGCCCAGTACTTAATGTATAGCTCCAAAGCGCATTTCTTCAAAAGAATATATAAACTGTCAATTTTTACTTTCTACTTCGTTCAAGATTCAATCTTTTTACTTTTTATTCAGGATGGTGCACAGGTAATCCACGATGGATGAAACATTATTGTCCAAAAAGCTGCAATTTATGTAGCAATATTACAGGTATTTTTAAAAGTGTCAGTGCGCAATAGAGATCAAGAATATCCTCATCAGACAATTACTTGATAATTATTTTCTGTCAACTACAGATAAACTGTACAAATATGTGTAAGTTCTACCATTTTAGTGCCTTCATGCGTGGACCAGCGTCCAGACTGTTATACACTCATGCAAAATGGTCACTGTGTGATTTCTGATGCATTCATGCAATCATTCTGTCCGAGATCTTGTGGATTCTGCAACTTAGTTACCACTAATACAACTAAAATTATTTCGACAGAGTTGCCAATACAGACTTACGCTCCATTAACTACAACTGAAGCAGCTGAAAAGTTTCACAGGTAAATTAACAAACATGGTATACGACTGCTTGTAGGACTTCCTGGTTTTTATATGTACCATACGTTCAAATTCCATTCTCGAAAACTCAAATGCTAATTTAAATGTACATATTCCCCTAGTTTGCTTGAAGCCAACATTGCACTGACCCAACTTAATTTGTGTTGACGATGTCGATCGTGAACTTGGAGGTTAGTTTTTATATTAGAAGAGATAGTAAATTTCTATGCAGCAAGTGATTTAAAAAAATTTATTGTAACAGATCAAAACAGTCACTGGGGAATACATGGAGAAAAATGATCAACAACAAATATCTGAAAATAAAATCTACTGAAACTCAATCAACAACATGCACGGATGGGAAACGTTTCTGCACACACTGGAAAAGTGCTGGACTATGTGAGGGATTATTTCACAGTTATATGGTAGAAAATTGCAGAAGATCATGTAAAATATGTAGTGATGGAAAAGATGATAAATTTCCTGAATGAACATTGGCTAAAACATGGAAAAATACAGCTGCTAAAAAGATTCCTTCACAATTGTTCTAGGAACGTACAGTAGAAGATCTTCAATGTTACTTTAAATAACAAACTAGAAAAAGTGGGAAGTTTTTTAATGCAGTATCATCGGATGAATAGTAATCAAACATGCAAGCAGATATAGAATTGATTTAGCATAAGGAATAGTTCGAAATGTGTACAGAACATCCACAAAAAATAAAAAAATATCTTGTGATGCATTTAGCTTAAACTTGCTATTAATTGTCAATCTGTACCATTTTCTTCTTCCGACGTAGGAATCTCAGGTATACACTGCAAAGCAAAGAAGATGGAATAGTCTTAAAGAGATTAAAAGTAAACAAGTTTTTTTTTAAGTCTACAACACCGTCTAAATGTATAATCACATGCAGATGTTACTTTCAACATCTAGCAGATATTCGATTTTGTTCGCAATTTATTTAAAAAATTCTGTTAAAACAACATACATAGAACTCAAGAAAGATCAAGGTGTTGTCGTAACGCTCAATTATGAACTGCATTGACAGTATGCCTCGATGATCAATGCGAATAGACAACTGGAACACAAGAGACATGACACACTTTTCTAATTTCATGAAAAATAAACAATTTATGAAAGGAGTAAGTCTTTCATCTGCAGTAAAAGCTTACCTTACTGCACATGTTCAACGAGGGAATTACTCGTTTTAGCAAACATAGCTTGTAAGAATATTCAACTTTATGTCTACAATCCAACTGTTCCATTTGCTCAGAATGAGCTGGAAATTCTACCTGAAAAATATCGCTTCAAATTTTATATGTTTGTAAGATATGATACAAAACTGTAGTTAACGGTTCCAGAAGAACACAAACACGAACCTGGATAACACCCAAATCTCCTTTCGTAATTATATTCAAAGAAAATGGATTTATCATAAATTCAACCGACAAACTGCTTTGGTCCAGCTCACGAAACGCTTCTTGCAACATCTCTGGCTTCATTATAACTCTAGCAGCAGGAGAGATAGGATTGAAATCAAAATCCAAAATCTGGAAAGATTTTGAGATAAATTTAATTTCTGAAACTTATTTCACATTTAAAAAACATAAACAACAGACAACTCACTTCCTCAGGATTTCGAGTATCAATCAAGCTTCTCAATACCACTCCATCTCGTTCAAGCATGATTTTGAACGGTAGACCAGGCCCATCATAAATCAGCTTCAGCATACCCATGACTCCTGTGCCAAAAGCATTTATGGATTCCTAGAACAGAAACAAGATTAAGTCTGTACTTTAAAAACAGAGGTAGATTAAAACACTTGAAAGTATTGATAGAAACCAAAAGCGAAACGAAAGAGATAAGAATACAAAAATAACCATGAAAACATAGAGAGGTATGCCAAATATTATATCTTCGTCTCTAATAAGAAAATATTCAGCGAATAACTCTCTGTTCAAATAAGCAATTCCTTGGATACAGTTCTGATCATTGACAACAATGCGCAAACCACTTTTGCTAATGTCAACGAGACATTTCTGCAAAAATACCCAATCGGATAGAAGCAGAAAAATTAGTAAAGTATAGAGCTCTACGTTTACAAATAGGATCAAATTTAGAAGATTAAAAGTAACTCTATATCTGAAACTGTATTTAAGATTTGATAAGCAGTAATGTCGTTTACTCCATTGCTTTCATTGTTTGCAATCCTAACACCCAAAAATTTTGTCTCAGTATTTTTGGAAAAAAATTCCACTATGCCCGTACCTGTGGAAATTTCATTAACAGTGAGTTTCTTCATATAAAAAGTAATTAGTATTCCGTAAATGAGTAAATCAGTAACTTTGTATCTTTGATGAAAAAAGTTGACTGCAATTTACAATATATTAGAAACAAAAAAAGAAGGTTTAAAGGTGATATTCAAGACAAAACTAGAAGCCAGAAACAAGATAATAGATCTGAAATGCAAAAAAGTGGTAGACACAAATAAAGTCTAAAGGGATCTCAACTTCAACAAGACATAAAGAATCTGAATCATGGGATGATTACTGACGGAGTGTTCTCTCAGTTCTTCACGTAGCTTTTCTCACTTCATTTGTTTCCCCACTGTTCTCTGTTATGATTCTAGATATGGTTTTCTTTGTTTATTTCCCATTTTCTCGCTGGGCATTTTATATCCCGCGCACAAATCAATACAGCATCCTTTACAGGGGTTTCCAGCTTTTTCAGCAATAATCTTTCTACCTCTTTGCTTATGCCATCCATATTTCCTTATACTTTCTTCTCTTGTTTCGTTTTCATTCCCACAGAAGTATTGCAACAAGATTTTGTATGAGTATATGGTCCAATACTTTGATTCTTGGAAGTTGCTGTGAAGTGGAAGGTTTTTCAGAAACGCGTTGCTAGCCGTCAGATAACTGATCTGATTCATTGGTGTAATGTTCTGTCATATTACTACCATTTTCATCGTTCTGGCGTTTTTGACTATCGATACCACTGCTTTTGTTGTTGCAACTGATATTGGTTTTTTTGCAGATTTTTTTACTTCCTACACTTGAAGAATTTCCGTTCACTTCCAACAATTGATTCCTCCTAGTACGAAGAGGATGACTTGTTCAGCAGATGCATATTTTTCAAAGAATGTAGTTTCTAAAAATTTTTCGATGTAATATATTACTGGCTAGTTATTATTTTTTCCAAAAACTTCACTGATACTATTTCTAAAGTATCCTGCTGTTTAACTATCTATTATATTCTTATTTTAAAGTAAACGAAAGATAAAGCCTTATCTTAAAAAACTTCAGATCAAACTACAGGTAAATAAATCTTAAAACTACTACCAACCTACGGCTAGCACTACAATAAGTCTTATAATCGATTAGTGCCATCAATAGAAATTTGCTTTTACAGTACGAAGTAAACTAATTTCTTAGAAAAAAAGTATGCTGACTAGTTTTTGCTATCAGTATACTTCTATTCTAAGCAAAAACTAATCAGCATACTTTTTTCTAAGAAATTAGTTTATCAATTAACTGCTCAAAGAAATAACTTCCGAAAACACTAAATGCAAGAAAAATTCTTGCTCAGGTCTTGAAGTGCTGCTTTCTGATGACTACAAGACTAAGATGAACTTACTCTTTTCTAAGTATGCAATAATTATAGATGTATAACACTTGCTCACTCATGTCGACATGCAAATGATAGATGTAAATTTGTAGCTGTAATCACTACCTCATGAAATTCGAGCGCTTTCAGAGCTGTGTAGAAATGACGGCTATCGATCATTTTCAACACAGCCATGGGTGGTCGTTCAGGCACATTTTGTCTCATTGCCGAGGCCATCGCACGTACTTTGCTGCAAGCAAGAAAGAGTGAAGAGTATCACGTAAGAAACAGTACAGAAAAAAGGCACGAAAGAAAGGACTGCAGAAAAGCAGGTAATATGGAAAATGAATAACCATGAAAATGCTTTAAATTAAGGGTATTATTATAAAAAATAATAGCAAAAAGTTATTTATGGAATATTTGCCTTCATAATGCAAACATAAGAACCAATTATAAATAGAACATAATTTTTTCTATAACGCTAAATCTCAAAATTTAGAAACTACTGAAGCTTTTTCTGATACATGACACTTGACAAAGGAAATTTTGTTGATTCCCACTGATATGTATCTATGCATTTCATTTTTCATTTCAGATAAAAAAAAGATGAAAATTTACCCAAAACATTCAAACTCAATATAAACAAAATGGGCTCTAATCCTACATGTTTTTATAAAGAGATCTATTTTCTTCTCAGAATTATAGTACTCATCCACTAACTAATGAAAGTTCTCATACTTACTACTTAGAACTCGCATAATCACTGATTTGATACTTCTTTGTACAAACAATGAAATATTTAACCGTAAAGGCTGCCTTTACTTTCTGTTAAAAAAAGGTCATGTAAAAATCGATTAATGTATTAAAGCATAAGTGTGTCTGGGACAAAAATATTAATCCTCACTAATTAATCACTTCACCATCGTGATCCATGAACACAAATTTGATGGAATACCACCAATTTCAAGCAACAGACAGAAACTATCGATCGCTCTATAAGACGAATTCCTGCTGCTCTCAATTTTAGCACAAATGCTTGGCGCCATTTATTAATTTCAGCAATGAAAACTGTGCAATCCAAGGGCCGCATTAATTCATGATGCATACTTATCTAGGTGTGCAGTGCAACACTGGTATCATAGGTTTCTTCTCAGATTCCTACATCTAATTGTTCAGGAGGTTCTAGTCTTAGTGAAAGTAATACATGCATTAATGATAAAATAAATCATGCAATATCAAGTAGTAGTAAAGTCAGAAGTGTTTCGCAGTAGTAGTACCTGTAAAACCAACACATTGTTACATGAAATGTTTTGCAGTACTAGATTGACCAATGAAAATTTATCACTACTGGTACCTCAATGCACTACTTTTACTACTGCTTGTTTCCCACATGTGTATTGGAAAGTAGTATGAATCAATATCAGATAACAGTAAGAATTTTGTTTCTTTCTCTTCTGATGTTGCGTATTTTTAGGGAAGAGCACCGAGAAGTATGAAGAGTTATGACCATGCATACACCACTCCATATAGTATAATACATAGCATTTAAATGTTTTCTGCAAGCTTGTTCTTATCACAAATAGAATAAAATAGTGTTCTTACAGTATGATGGACATGATGATGCTATTGCGTTTCAGACTGTGTGTTGAAAGAAATAGGCATCACATGTCAAAATTTCATGCTAAGAAATCGATCGATTACATATGTGATACTTAATCCTAACATGACTTATCAAGGAATAGCAAAGAATGAAAATAAAAAGTACAAAATCAGAATCCTCAGAATAAAATCAGCACTACATCAATAGAGTGCACAATCATTACAACGCAAGCCATTAGCATAACTAACGTACTTGCACAAGGATTATTTCAGGCCAGTTTTACAGGTGTATACGACGCAATAGAGTGCGCAATTCAAAATCAAAACGAGTTGCATAATGAATTTTCATCCTGTAATTTAGCTAAGAGCAGTTAATTATAATGTATCTGGCCTACTGGTTTTGATGGTAAATACAGAATTAGCAAAAAGAGTGCCATGTCCAGCGATCATCAGTTAATAACAGCCATATAACGATAAGCAAATAGCATGACCAGACAAATACATTAGTTGAAAAAATGAATAATAAATACGTGCCAAAATTCTATTTCCACGTCATTACCAGCATGTTGAAAAAGAGGTAAATACTGTGGAGTAGTAACCCATTTATAATACTGCCAACGATCCCTCCGCTCTTACGTCTGTAAGTGTTACAATTTTTTTCATTCAATATAATGCAACTATTGCAGGCTATGATTCATCATTGTGTCACTAGAATGTGAAGTAGCATAGATAAATTAACGGCTATTTTCATAAAACCAAGCACTACTCTACAGGCACGTAACTTCTCTGTATTACCGATGCATTACAACAATCAAAGAAGCAAATTCGCAAATATGAGTGATACTATATTCTACGTCATGTACCAACACCAAAGCATTTCTTTTATGCAACTACTATCAAAAGTTATATTTATTTACACAGTCCGATAAAGGCGAGTATAGCAATGCACGAAACAGTTTCATATTTATTGCATAGTAATTTTTATTCTGCATTACTCTACGACAATCGCACGTTCACGAATTTCGAATAAAATAATCATTTGAGATTTCGCGTGTAAAATGAAAATACAAGCTTACAGCAACTTCACAAGAAAACGATGCATTAAAATACGACGTATTCACCTATCAGTAATAACGCACAGAGAATGAATGCATAGCAAAGTAAACAGAAATGCGTGGAATAGCAGACGTATCTTCATTACATAGAAAAAATGTAACAGCTTAATACGACAGATGACTGTTTCCGTGTCAATGCAAATAAAGGAAATGATAGAGATTAGTAGTAGAATGAAAATGATAAGTAGATGTAGCAAAATTTGCAGCTTTGAACATGAAAAAGAGCAAAACGGATACACGATATATCCACGCAGATAAATAATAACTATTACAACGAAGAGCGCCCCTATGACTTGCTCTTTGCCAACCGATGGGATGTGCTGCACGCAAACAGAAAGTGACATAGAGAGAGAACGGAAAGAGAGGAGTGCACAGATAACCTTACCTTTAATTGCTGCTTTCGTCTACACACTACTGGAAGTAGTGTGTAGACGGAAGAGGAAAGGGAAGGGATAGAGAGAACGTGAAAAGAGACGCAAAAAGAGAGTAGGAAGAGGGTAGGAAGAGAAGGAAGATGAAAATAGGAAACTGGCAAGGTTTATAGGATGTCGCCAAGGCAGCCATGAGAGTAACAATAGTAGTGGTATTATTAGTACTCGTAATATTTGTAATAATAGTAATAGTGATAATGACAATACTTATAGTATTCATAATCCAGATAGCAGCATTAGTTTAAATAAAAGTTACAAGAAGTAGGAGTAATTTAATATTATGGATGTTAGTAATTATGGTAGTAGTGATAATAATAATAATAATAATA